TTAATCAAAAATCACAAATTAACAATAGTTCTAGAATTTCCAAAGGATCAAAAGTCAAGCAAAAATGGCAGAACTAAGGTTACTTTTGTTATTGTTTTTCCACGACGCATATTTGTAAAATTAGGTTGAGAAAAAATCCCGAGAATTATTTCATAGAGCGCTGACAATCTTCTTACAGTGTTCTGTACGTAATTACACTTCTTTGAGAATATATTTAAAAGGTTTCAAAAACTTGACGGTAACTTCAAATACCCTAATTTATTTATGGTCTAAAATTGTAAGAATTGTTCTTTATTTTCTATTTTAAAAACCGAACGATATGAGGCTGGTCATTTTTGTTCCTATCAAACTAAAGTAAATTGCTCGTACGATTGAGATCTTATGTTTTCAATCATTACACCCCATAGACAAAGATAGATTGTGCATAAGACGACATTTGTCATCTTGAAAGATATAAATGTACAGAGATGTTTTAAAGATATTCCTATTATATAGATAAACTAGGTTGGTTGTGAACATTGGCTGTTCTTATGTCATTGAGTACTTGTGGTGTACATCAGTTCTGTAGAGAGAAATTTAAGTTAGTTTAGTCCTTCTCAGGTCCTTCTTCAGTTCTCATCAATATCATATATTGCTCAGTGAAATATTTTTGTTAAAACACCAAACCACCCCGCTTATCATTGAAGTACACTTTGACCCCTAGAAGTATGAGTTCGCTGACTGTACAATTCTTGGTGATTTTGCGTACATAAGCTATCTATGTTTATTTATCTATCTAGGTTACACCCCTTATAGAATAGCTAATGAGAAGAACAAAATGTTTGGAATCTCATAAAATCATTAACTAGAGGAGCTACGAGGTCACAAAGTTGTACCAGTAATGTCTCATAAATTTGACCTTGTCCTTTTGTCTAGTTCACAGAAATATCAACAATTTATATCTTTCATAATTTATTATTTGAGACTTGCAGGCTATGAATAATAAATTTCCGCATTTTTTATTTTGATACAATTAAAGAGAAACAATATAATCTAAATAACAGACTTTCTCTATGGTATTAAATTATTCTATTTAGTAATGTATAATGTCTGGACCCAAAACACAGGTTTGAAACATTTCCCCAATCATTTTGAGACTGCATTGTAAAGTAATGTTTTGATACCCTAAACAGTATAATGTTCCTAAAGGAATCGAGTCTTATGATTTTCTCATCTCTTTGCAACCCAATGCCGTAGACCTTAGATATTTCAAACTATGAATACTGTAAGATCAAATAGTCTAAGTTTGAAATATAAAAGGTTTACAACATCAAGTGGAAAAATATAGGTATTATAAAATAAAAGTTTGTTACAAAGACTCAATTATTTTGGCGATTACCTAGTCCTGGAAGAAATTTGACAGGTTCTTTCTCAATAATTATTCTTCTTAAAGATTTAGCTGCTGGGTTGTCAGACATTAGTTTTCCAATAGCCACGAAATTGGACGACATTGACCCCTAGTATCATAGACTTATAATCAATATATATTTAAAGTAGTAAATCTCTGTTTGTTTGTAAGTCCGATCATATTCATAACTCGTTAAACCTCTGAGAAATTTGCAAATTGAGGCACTTAGTAAACCACGGGAATATACTTAGCTCGGTAAAACATTTTTAGTCGATCAGGTTGACTTTTTAGTTGAGCAGATTAACTTTTTAGTTGAGTAGGTGACTTTTTAGTTGAGCAGGTTGACTTTTTAGTTGAGCAGATTAACTTTTTAGTTGAGCAGATTGACTTTTAAGTTGAGCAGGTTGACTTTTTAGTAAAGAAGGTTGACTTTTTAGTTGAGCAGGTTGACTTTTTAGTTGAGCAGATTAACTTTTTAGTTGAGCAGGTTGACTTTTAAGTTGAGCAGGTTGACTTTTTAGTAAAGTAGGTTGACTTTTTAGTTGAGCAGGTTGACTATTCAGTTAAGCAGGTTGACTTTTTAGTTGAGCAGGTTGACTTTTTAGTTGAGTAGGTTGACTTTTTTAAGAAAAGTTAATTTCCAGACAAAGCTGGGCTCCCAACCTGTTGATTTAGAAAATAACAATAAAATAAGGTTTGTAGAAAATAAAAAATGGACAAGGCAAGATTCCATCAAAATCAAAGAAATATTTAACCGTCTGTTATCTATTCTATACTCTACAGTCTATGCCTGGTAAACATGACGATCAAGGGTATACTTCTTATTCTTCCAACCTGGTTGACCACTAGATAAAAAAAAACATTTTTCATTCAAAAAGCTGTTTATTAAATGTGTCACCACAACTTTATTCTAAAAGTGATATGTCTTAAACCGTTAAAAAACGGCTTTTCTTGTTAATATTTCATATTTTGCAAGTCCTCAGATGCATTTTAGGCTCTTTCCGATTGATGCCAGAGCCTTAGTATTGAAATTTAATTATTTTTAAGAATTAATTTTTTTTCCTGTTCATAGCATCCTATACAAGATTACCCACAAAGGATCAGACTGTAAAGACGACCTGAAACTTTTTAAATTTAACGATTTCAAGGTTAAGTTTAGTCTTCTGTCTTGAATATAATTTTTTAATGGCATTTTTACTGAAAGGCAAAAAAAAGAAAAGATTACAACTGCAGTGAATCATAAATATTATGTAACTGACAGTATACAATATAAATTCTGTAAAATCGTTTCTGAAATCTCATCCTTTGTGTGTAACCCTGTATTTAGGATTGAAGTTATGAAAATCCTTTTATGTTCATTAGAAACTAACAATTTATAAAAAACAAACAATTTGTCAAAACATCTATTCTAGAACTGTTTGTTTGCACCATTAGCTTAATTTTTTTAGTATAGATATCGTCATAAAAACGAATATGTGGCTATGGTATCAACAGATAGGTTTTTTTCGACACCTTGGATATAAAATTTAAACCTGATATCCCTGTCTAGGAGGACAATGATGTCCTCTGTGTCTACCCTGACGACAGATCCCTGTGAAAGCGCCAGCTCCTTGTCAGAGGACAAGAGGACAACCTCCCCCACCTGGAAGATCGGAGGCAATCCTCCTGCTCGTGTAAATCTAAAAATAATTTTATACAAAAAAAAAATGATTTAATCTTGACCAAATTTGTAGAGCGTTCCATTTCAAGGACAGAAATATATTCCTAAAACTGTAAAAACAATGTGTTCGTGTTCACATGGAATTTGCTGCATCAAGTTGGAGACCCTCGACCCAACAGGAAAAAGACAAACTATAAAACGCAAGGCAGTAAGGATTATCTCAGGGCTTCAGGGCTCCAAATATGAAGAAAAACTTAAAGAATTGGGACTACAAACTCTAGAAGCCAGACGTGAAAGATCTGATTTGATTCAGACCTACAAAATAGTCCATGGTCTAGATGATGTTGACAAATCCCTGTGGTTCCAGCATGTGGCTGAAACTAGAGAAAGCATAACAAGACAATCTGCTGATATACTCAACCTGAAACTAGTGAACGCATGACAAGACAATCTGCTGATATACTCAACCTGAAACTAGTGAACGCATAACAAGACAATCTGCTGATATACTCAACCTGAAACTAGTGAACGCATAACAAGACAATCTGCTGATATACTCAACCTGAAACTAGTGAACGCATAACAAGACAATCTGCTGATATACTCAACCTGAAACTAGTGAACGCATAACAAGACAATCTGCTGATATACTCAACCTGAAACTAGTGAACGCATAACAAGACAATCTGCTGATATCCTCAACCTGAAACCAAGTCACTCAAAACTAGAACTGAGAAGGAATCGCTTTAGTAACAGAGTTGTAAACTCTTGGAATAAATTACCACAAGATGTAAATCCGCCAAAAATATTAATGTATTCAAAAACAAGTATGACCACTACATTAGATCCACAATGATCACTGGGATCAACTCACAAACCTAGAAGAAACCATTCTTCCAGCAGATGATCATTAGTTCCTAAAAAATCCTCTACATATTCCTAGATGGAACACTGAGGATCAACAGTCAACACACAAGTATCAAGTAAGTAAGTCTTTTGCTGTAATATCTTTTCTGTCAGCAGCAGCTGGATTTCCAAGGAATGATGGGTCATGGTTGACTGCAATCATAATTACAATTTTGAAGCTCGACCTTGATTTCGACAGCATAATGATTAACCGGATAATCTTCTTTTAATTATTGTCACTATTATTTTCATTTATATTATCTTCTCTGAAAATCAAAACTCTTCACTAATATATAAATAAATATTTGACAATTTGTATATTTGTGTTATATGTTAGCTGGCCAAACGGCTGGACCGAATGGGCTGGTCCATTTTTTGAGGAAACCTATAGGTACTCGGGGGGTAAAATAGGATAAAAAACTTTAAAAAATATAATTTTTTTCTAAATAAAAAAAATTCTATTAGAATTAATTTTTTTTTTAAATTCGATTTTTTTAAATTCCATGAACGCCGGGCACTTCAGCATTAATTTTATCATTAATTTTATCATAAATATTAATCTTAATATTATTATTAATATTATCATTAATATCATTATTACCTATGGTTTCTATTGTCTAATACTGAGGATAGATCTAGAAGCTGAATACAGGACCCAGATCTCTCCCTCATACCAGGGGTTTCCGTCCAGAGGTTACTCACGGAGGTATTCATCTCCCCGGCCTCCAGCCTCAGGATATCTGACCAGTGGTGAAACCAGGCCAGGTCCCCGGCCTCAAGATGCTGCAGGGTATCTAGAGCAGAGGGCTTAAAAATATTAAAATAAACCAAATTCTAAAATGTATGTAGACGTAATACTAGAGAATTCTAGAGAACCATGTACAATTCAAACCATACACTACTACTCTATGTATGATCAAGGATGAACAAGAAAACCTTACTTTTCTAAATAAAAATTTATAAATTTAAACAGTGCTTTCTTTATAAATCAGCTTGCAAACTAGAACAAAAATTGTCAGAATTCAATACGCTTTAAAATAGAAAAAAAGACAATATCATCTTCTCTTTTTAATCTAGAGGTGTCAACTATTAGACCCGCCCACCTGGAGCAAGCCTTGCCATAGGATGCGGAGGGGGAGGAACAGTTTCCTGTATTTTCTGGTAGATGGAGCAGATCTCAAGATAATCACAATTAGAACAAGCTTTTTCAAAATCTATTGGTTCCGGCAAAATCATCTCTGATACCTTGTCATTCTCATACACACCAACTTGACTAGAATACTTAAAATGTAGGCAAAAACGTTGTTTTTATAGAGAATGTTATCATTATTTGAAATCATAACATTTGATTACATTATCTCTTAAGCAAAAATACAATTAATAAAATTGTTTTTCTTTTTTAAATATTATACATTTACTCGGTATTTTCTTGCTCACATGAGCTGTGCAGTGTGTATCCGCAAACATCCAAGCGCAAAATAATGTATATTATTAATTTCTTATAATATATTATTAATTTCTTATAATATATTATTAATTTTATTTTAAAAAATATGAAAGAGTTATCCAACTTTCAAGGCTTATATTTTAAAGTTTAAAAAATTTATTTTAAGTGTGCCTAAGATATGCGACTAATTGGTTTCTTAGCTGCAAAAGACCTCTTTCCTCGTTCCGTCTAGACGGAGTTAATGTTCCATGATAAAAATAATATTATCACAAATAACAATAATATAAAATTACTAGGCTTTTAAGGTTTTAGTTCAACTTTAAATGGTGGCCTCTATCTGTGAGAATTTTCTCTTCATAAACAATGTAAAACAATAACAAAAAAGTTCGCGGATTTCATCCTATTTTTTCAAAGATTTTCAAAAATTTCCGAAAATAAATTTTTTTCAGAGACAGTATTCTAAATTCTGAGGTCCCACAAAAATGTGAGCCCGATCGGTTCAGCCGTTTTAACATTTATTGGATGCAAACAAACAAACAGACACCCAAGCAAATTATATATATAGAATATAGATAGATATATAGAAGATAGAAGATCAATCATAATAAAAATCATTTAGAGAAATCAAAGATTCTTTTTAATACTATATAACGACAGAACACAGTTGTTTTCTAAAAAATCATTTATCCCCCCCCCCCTTTTAAAACATGTTTATCCCAATATACTTATAAGGAAAGTTTCTAAGGTTTGTTTCGAAATATAAAAAAATTTGCCAGAAAATTTCCCAAAATTCCAATTGTTTTAAACCAAAATCTTCGAAAATAATTCTTTAAAACTTGTTCCGCGAATTTACACTAAGAGCGCGCGTTAATATTAAATGTCAAGTATTGAATGGAACTATAAGCGCTCCTGCAGGGAATCTCCACCATGTTGGAGGACCGGAGGTAGAGGAGGAGTCCGGAGCCAGGATCCGGCCTCCGGTCTCGGGACATCATTGAGTACAACATCACCTAAATATAAAGAGAAATTCAAGGTTACTGTCGAAATATCATTTTGATTTCGTAAGTTTGAATGAAAGGGTCTGTAGACGTAATTCTAAGAGATCCTCCATTCTTTTTACCGGTACAACGTTAACCCATTAACTGATATTCAAAGAGAAAGCTGGAAGATATCAATGTTTTCTGACGAAGTGTTTAATTATTCTAATTTACTTCATTGATTCTGCGGCATTAATCCGTAACTCAGCAGATAAACCACAAAACCCCAATTTCCATACAGAGAAACAAGGATATCTCATTTGTTCGTTATCAGATATTGGTTAAAAGGGTACCATCGTGAATCGCAAATGACACTTAAAAAAAATGGAAATTAGGTTGAGATGAACTTTTATGTACTGTCAGGCTTTGGCTGTCAAAGGGACTGTTGACATAGTTATAAGTGACTCTTCTTTATTCAGTGGTTAGTTCGATTCACACTTCACAGTTCAATTAAAAGCGTTGTCTTATCAAGAATGCTTAAGCCATCAATGTTTAACTCTTTTAAAATTTATTGTTTTCAACTGTGGTTACTTTACAAAAGTGACTTGCGCATACAATGGAAGTAAATTATCAGAATTGAACACGTTTAAAGCTAGAAAAACGACGATATATTCCATATTTTTTATCAGTTAAAAGTTTTAAGGATACCGTTGTGAATCATACATGCCTCTCGTTAAATGAAAGTCACTTGAAATCACAGTCCCTTTAGAATGGTTGAGAAATCTGTTGTTAGCTACCTGGCCAGAATGTTCTGCAGAAAATGAAGGTTTCCCTGTTTTTATCTCTAAAGGAAGAATCTTCTTGCTTCCTTGGCTTTCAACAGATATATCAATCTTTCCCTTTATTCCCAACCTAGAAAAACAGATATATCAATGTTTCCCTTTATTCCCAACCTAGAAAAACAGATATATCAATCTTTCCCTTTAATCCCAACCTAGAAAAACAGATATATTAATCTTTCCCTTTAATCCCAACCTAGAAAAACAGATATATTAATCTTTCCCTTTAATCCCAGCCTAGAAAAACAGATATATTAATCTTTCCCTTTAATCCCAACCTAGAAAAACTGATACAGGGTGGCCAAAACTATTTTGAAAAAATCCGTACAAAAATCCGTACATTATCAGAAAAATTCCGTACAATCCGTACAATTTTCGAAAAAAAAAATCCGTACAATCCGTACAATTTTCGAAAAAAAAACATACAATCCGTACATTTTTTTTAAATCCATACTTTTTTAAAAGTCCGTGCATTTTTTTAAAAATCCGCACAATCAGTACAATTTTCGAAAAAAATCCCTACAATTCGTAAATATGATATTCTAAACTGGGTCTGCAGAACCATTTTCTAAACTGGATCTGCAAAACTACATTCTAAGCTGGGTCTGCCACACTATATTCTTAACTGGGTCTGTTACACTACAGTCTAAACTGGGTCTGCCACACTATATTCTTAATTGGGTCTGCTACACTACAGTCTAAACTGGGTCTGCTACAATTTATTCTAAACTGGATCTGTTACACTATATTCTAAACTGGGTCTGCAAAACCATATTCTAAACTGGGTCTGCTACACCATATTCTTAACTGGGTCTGCAAAACCATATTCTAAACTGGGTCTGCAAAACCATATTCTAAACTGGGTCTGCAAAACCATATTCTAAGCTGGGTCTGCCACACTATATTCTAAACTGGATCTGCTACACCATTTTCTAAACTGGGTCTTCCACACTAAAATTCTAAGCTGGGTCTGCTACACCATATTCTAAACTGGGTCTGCTAAACCATATTCTAAACTAGGTCTGCTTCATCATATTCTAAACTGGGTCTGATACATACACCATATTCTAAACTGGGTCTGCAAAACCATATTCTAAACCGGGTCTGCAAAACCATATTCTAAACTGGGTCTGCTACACCATATTATAAATTGGGTCTGCTACACCATATTCTAAACTGGGTCTTCCATACTAAAATTCTAAACTGGGTCTGCTCAAATGAAGACTTCTGGAACATATTCTGAAATGAACACTTCTGGGACATATCTCGAAAATTATTAATTAATTTTGATTGGCAATTGAAACATTAATCAATCTAATATTATTTAGAATGCAAAAAATAAGTTTAGCTAACTTTATTTTGACGAGAATTTTTTTTTGAAATTTTCATGAAAAATTAGCAGAAATGAGTGAAAAATAAAAAAAAACCGGTGTATTTCCAGGATAAAAATCCTGGAAATCAATCTTTCCCTTTATTCCCAACCTGAAAAGGATATCCATATATTTATCAAAATTGAATATCAAGAATCATAATTTTGTCCCTTATTTCTCTAAATGCAAATCTCAAATAAAGATAAATTTTTTAACTACGTTCATTAATCTCACTAGAAGGGGATGATTCATCAGGTGTACTGTCCTGTTTTGTCTTCCTTAGTCTATTATACTATTTGCCCAGGGGTGGGCCTGGTACTCCTAAATTGACCGGCTCGACTTACCTTGGAGACCAGATATTCTCCTCGATATCTACTACTCTGGCTATCCGACCCTTCCACTGGGCTCTCTCTGTTCCTCGTTTAGGCCGGTCAGGTGTACTAGCTTCAGGGGCAGCTACCTACAGTAAAACAGTTTAAAAACTTATAAGAAGGTTGAATAAAGGTAGTTTATAAAGGAACTTATAGCGGCCAAGAATAGCCAAGAAGCTGTCCTAAAAAAACATGCTTTTTAAGGTTTCTATAATTTGATCTCCTGTTAACTTAGAAAACAGCTTTTTATAAATTCTAAGGTTTCAATACTTCGAACTAGGGTTTCCAATATTATAGATGTATATTGTAGATGTTGTTAATATTTGCTACCTCCGCCAAATATTTGTCATTCTCTGACCTGTTGTCCAAGCATATACTTCTTCACGAAGAACTGAATATGGTCGAGGAAAGGGGAGATATCCTTCCTTATCTCCAGTTCCGTGATCCCAAGGTAGGACAACTCCTGGAGAACATTAGAGGGATTGTGAATCGATTAAAGTTTTCTAAAGATATCCACGAAATCTCTTATAAAATATCAAACTCGAATAATGAAGCACTTATCATCAATTTTAATTTCTGATAAGGGCCAAATTCAGCTATTTTCTTTAATGAAGAAAACCACAACATCTCCTGAACTAATATTGTGGAGCAATTATCGTTATTTTCTGTATACTAAAATGGGACCAAATCAGCCATTTTCTTTAATGAAGAAATCCACAACATCTCCTGAACTAACATTGTGGAGGAGAAATTATCGTTCTTTTCCTTACTTAAAATGGGACCAAATTCAGCTATTTTCTTTAATGAAGAAATTCACAACATCTCCTGAACTAACATTGTGGAGGAGAAATTATCGTTCTTTTCTTTCCTGCCTTATTTCCACCTCCTCCACCTTTATATTTCTCAGCCAGTACAGCTTTCCTGCACATAAGAATATACTCTTAGGCTTTCCTGCACATTGTAATATACTCTCAGCTTTCCTGCACATAAAAATATACCCTCAGGATTTCCTTTACATAATAATATACTCTCAGCTTTCCTGTACATAAGAATATACTCTTAGGCTTTCCTTTACATAATAATATACTCTCAGCTTTCCTGCACATAAGAATATACTCTCAGGCTTTCCTACACATAAGAATATACTCTCAGCTTTCCTGCACTTAAGAATAAACTCTCAGCTTTCCTTAATAATATACTCAGGCTTTCTTGTGCATTATACTATACTCTACAGTCTACATATTTGCTCTACATAATATTAAAATATTGTGGAAGACGATGCCTGGCCGCCTTAAACAAATCCCACAAGATTCAACGGAATGAGATAGAACGGATACGGGGCATTGTACTGAAAGTCTACACGTTTGATATTGATAATTACTCATGTTCTGAACCCTATAGTAATAAGTTATAAGAAATATATATACTGGAAGTTACTTTATGCGTTTCATTAGAGTTTGACCCACGTCCTCTACAATATACAGCTTTCCAGTATATTACTCTATACTCAATGTTTTCCTCTATACAATATCTACAGCTTTCACATAAACAAAATTTTAATCGACATCTTTCCTGTTTATAATATAATGGAAAACTTTTAAGTAAATTATACTAAACTCTACAGATTTCCTGTAAATAATATCATACTCTAGAGCTTTCCTGTACATAATATCATACTCTAGAGCTTTCCTGTACAGTGTACATAATCTATCTAAAGTTTTCCTGTACCAAATTTTATACCTAATAGCTTTCCTTTACATAATATCACAATCTACAGCTTTCCTGTTCATATAATTATAATCTACAGCTTTCCTTTACATAATATCATAATCTACAGCTTTCCTGTACAACATATACTCTGCAGCTATTCTATTCAGTTTCCGGTTTCTGAGTGCAGCCTTTTTGAAAATTAAATATTGAAAAATTTCACATTATGTAAGTGAATGTGACTTACACAGAAGATGTCAAAAATTAAAGTTTTTCTGCTTTGCAAATTGTAAAGTGCTGTATCAGACAAAACCCGATGTAATATATTGTTCTGTGCTATCACTGTACAGTGTACACTGTGCATTGTAACATGTACAGCGTACAGTTTACAGCGTACAGCGAACAGTGTAAAGCGTACAGCGTACAGTGTACAGCGTACAGTGTAAAGTGTACAGCGTACAGTGTACAGTGTACAGTGTACAGTGCAAAGTTTTGGACTGTTGGACGTCGGTACCTCAGACAGAATAGTGCAGATACAACTGCAGTTCCGGAAACAAGGATATCCGGGTTTACAATCACACTTCCTAGATTAGAAAACCATTATAATAAATCATTATCCCTTGTCCCTTTTATGCAAACAATTTGGAAATGTTTAAAGAGATTACACGCTAATTAGAGGGAGATAAATTAATCAGAGAAAGATAAATTAATTAGAGAGAGATAAATTAATCATCAAAAGATCAAAATTAGAATATATAGAAATTTTATCTATCTGAATCAAGAATACATGTCATTTTTTTGCACCCCGAAATTCATTGATTTCTCCAAAAATTCATTTATTTACTCAAAAACAATCGATATTTTTTTACAACTTTATAGGGAAGTTAAGGGAATTTTACTTTACCATGGGTTCCCAAGATCAATTTTGCCTACAAAACAATCAGATCCTGCCCAGGCAAAATTGGTCGAGGGAACCTGAGGTTAGGTACAATTTTAAATTTCCCGAATAAGTAGTTTTACTCAATTTTATCGCCTTTAAATATAAAAATGCGCAATTTTTTTCATGAAAACTTTGCAGAGCGGGTGTTTATTTTGCTTAATTGTCCCAAGGGACGTAAAGTAACCAAACGTTACTCTGTTGGAGGAATCATAGTTTGGTAATGTTGGTCATAGGGCGGTAAACTAAATAAATTAAGGTTACCTGCTTTATCATTGATATTGATAACGTCCTGAACCCAGTCCCCCTCCAGGTGTAGTATATCCTTCTCATTAAACACTGTCTGAAGCCAGGAGTCCTTGATAACAGCTCTCCTATGTAATCCAGGGTTAAAGGAATCCTCCAGAATTAAAATCAGCTGATTCTCAACTGTATCGTCAATCTCCAAAATCTATACGGCGTTGAAGTCTCTTTTGAAGTCAACAAAATTCTATGAATAAAAAAGGTCTCATCCCTTACTTTTAAATCGTCATTCGTCAAGTTAAGTGTTACCTGAAAAATTCAGTCTAAAACTAATATTCTAACTCTACGGCCAGTACAGTAAAAAAACGCAGTTTTTCCATCATTTTTTCAACGATAAAAGTTTTAAAGGGTCACTTTAATTTATTAAATAAATTTTTGGTTTAGTAGAAATTATAAATTTGTCAAAAGTTTGAACAAGTAAATAATACACGGGTCGGATAGGATTAGAATCAACTTAAAGAACTTCTAGTCCTCATTTTACAACAGTACTCTTATACTTTAATCTAAATAACAGTCAGGAGACATTATTTTGAAAATTGAAAAATTTCATCAGTTAACTTATTTGCCTCTGCTGCATCACTATGGAAGTCAGTTTAAAAGATATGTTACGTTACGACGACTAGTTAGTCATGGAAATGAATTTAATGAATTGGAGAGGTCACTGAACTACATACCGCCGGTTCAAAACCTAAGTCCCCGATTCAAATCCTCACAAATCTTTAACTTTGAATTGGTGCTCCAAGATTTGAACCAGCAGTAGGTAGTTTAGCGGCCAAGCTCAAATTTATTAAATTCAGTCCCTGTTTATGGTAACATCGGTTTGAAGTTTATAATTTCAGACTTGGCCATTCCTTGTGTCTGTTAAACTTCGAGGCCAATGGAACCTCAGTATCTTCAGCCTCCAAACATTCTTCAGGAAACTCGTCCTCGAACATATCGTCCTCGAATAAGTTTTCTTCAATTACATTCTTCTCAAGATCATTGTCGAGGGCACTAGTTGCCACCGGATTTGCATGACCAGGTTGATCTGTACTCAGTGATTTAGTCCGGGCACGTTTTTGGTTTGGTTCCGCGTATTCTTGAAGAATATCATCCATTATTTGTAAATCTGTGTTTTCCTTTTCTACACTGGATTCCGCTTCTGACTGATTGTACCCCCTCTATCCGTAACAAACCAATATTAATTATATCATAAGTGAACTAAATTACTTAAATATCTGATCTCATTGGATTTCTGTTATATTAGCAATTCCTTAGATTCAGAACTGTCATTGGATAATCTTCGTTTAACTGATTTTGAAGTAACTATAACAGGTTTTCTGGTCTTAAACTTCTCTCTATCAGGCGTACAATCAAGAAAATCAAGTTCAGGAGGAATTTGTTTCAGAGGAGACGGTTTTTTAAAGGGTGGTGGTTGTTTGGTTGGAGGCGATTGTTTGGATAGTGGTGGTTGTTTTAACGGTGAAGGTTGAAGAATAGGTTTCTGAGGTTTGATTACTGAATTCTGTTTCTGCAAACTAGAGGTTAGATTGGATCCAGGAGATTTTCCTCTTGAAGCTCCAGAGGAAGCTACTCTAGCCGCAGTGCTTTGAACTGTAGTAAAGGGCTGGGAGCCCTGGAAGAACCCTAGGGAAAGGAAATACTATGAAGGACAACACTTTCTGTTAGAGGGGTATCAATTTATAGAAAAAGTACTATAAAAATAAACATTGACACAGATCAATGGCTGAGAACTTCTTAACTTTGAGTTTTGAATCCAAATTACATTAAATAACAACGATGCCAAAAATGTTAAAATTTTCATTAAATATTTCTATTATTTCCCTGTAATTTTTTTCTGTCCTTTCTCCGCTCCACCATCTTTTTTCCTTGATAGCTTCCCCATTATCAAGTTTATTTTTCCCTCCTAACTTCCCATTCTCATCTGAAACTAATGGTGCGAATTTTCTTTAAAAACATGTGCGAATTTCATGAACATCATGAACATAATATTAAAATGACTTTCAAGCGAACAAAATTGAGTTGGAGTCTGAAAGGTTGTAAGAAAAATGAATGTTTTTAAACTCATAGTTGTAATTTTTAACCAATATTTAGGCGCCAAAGTTAATTTTCAAACAAATTCTTGCATTTGAACTATTTTTTAATATTTATACATAAATGCTGATGATATCTTATTCAAAATAGTAGATTCAAATATTTATTTTTAACTAAAGATTCTCCATGATCAGCTTTCTTCCACAATTTCAGCACTCTCCTTCTAAAATAAATAAAAATAATCAAATAATATCTTTTATACCATTTTCAAGTATAAGCTTATAAAAATTTAATTTTAACCCATTTCACTGATAAGCTAATTTTAATTTCTATTCTAACCATTTCAAGCATAAGCTTATAATAATCTAATTTTAACTTATTTCACTGATAAGCTAATTTTAATTTTTATTCCAACCATTTCAAGTATAAGCTTATAATAATTTAATTTTAACCCATTTCACTAAAAAGCTAATTTTAATTTCTTTTCTATCCATTTTAGTGATCAGCTAATTATATCATTATCTTACTTTGCTCTTATAAAATACTTTTACAGGGACTGTAGAGGTAATTTTAATTGACAATTTTAATAAATTTAATTGTAATTATTTACAGTGACATGTCGGATTCACAACGGTACTTTAAACACCAGTAACTGTTACGGAAAAAATGAGAAATCATTTTTTTTTGTTTTAAAAAATAACTTTTTGCATTTAGAATTTATGCAGCAGATACAATGAATGAAATTGTCAGAATATTTTTATCCGGAAAAAAAAACTACGCTATTTTCTACATTGGTTCTCAGAAAAATTTTACCATTCCACTCCTTTCAATTTCTTTACGCCAAATCTTATTCAAGATAGAGAAAAAATCTACCAAAAATTACCTCTTTCTCAGGTTCTGGAATTATTTCTACAATATCATCATCATCATCCTCGGCATTGTTAGTAGCATCAGAAGCAGTTTCAGCAGGTGTGGAGGAAGCAGCAGGTTTATCATTAGCAGCAGCAGCAGCTTTCTTTTTAGCAGCAGTATCTTTCTGGGAAGGGATAAATGAATTGTCAAAATAATATACAACTCAATTTTATAAGTTGGATATTTTGTTTGAAAAAATATTTGTAGTTTTGAATCATGGACTTGATAATTATGTAAATATGTAAAATAAAAACAAGGACAACATACTTATTATAATTATTTCTTGTTTACTTTGTTTTTGAAAAGTTGAACTTACTCGCTAAACTATTCTCCAGGGGTCGAACAAACTTATCAAACTCCATCTCACCCATCGCTGAAATCTAATCAGAAATATAAATCATAGAAAAATATGTCTCGTCTGATTCTATACGAGTACATGTGATTTTTATATGGGAATAAGTAGTTTACTGTTTTAGAATTTTATCAACAAATCTATTCTTTCAAAATCAAATTCACAGAATCGTCGTTGTTAACAAAAATATGGATTTTAGTGCAAATTTTTATTTGGGTTTTGGTTGGATTTAGGGTTTGTATTTTTGTCCTCACAAAAAACAGAACTAAAGTCTTTCTTACCACATCCTGACCAGATATGGTTTTCCTACTGCTCTTCTGTGCAACTGCATTAGCACTGGAGGTTGTGTACAGGATAAATACGCTGGCTGCCTGAACAAAATAATCTTAATAGGGGTATTTATTTTCAAGAACCTCACCACGTGATGCTCTGAAAAGACTATTTAACTTTTCATTTTTGATACTTTTTAATTAAACATTCATTTACTTTTCCCGTTTCAGTGAATAAGAATTAATTAACAATTTGCGCAACCATACCTAACAAAGGTTTAATTTTTAACACAGTAGATTACTTTCACAAACCTTGGCAATTGCAGCATTTGCTTCCTTTGAAACTTTACAGTTTGGAGGTAGACAATCCTTATCAGATAAGATTTAATTGTGATTGAATTTAATCTCTTAAAAATTCAAAAAAATATGTTTATACTTCTATCTGCTTTGGTTATCCTATAATAAAGTCATATTTTATTCTTAAAGATAAACAATTCAATTATAATTCATCTGTTCCTTGATAATTTTTGTGACAATTGAAGTCGGTAGATTCAGATCTTCAGGTTTCTCTGCCATTTTTCTAAATAAAAAAAATGTAAGGGTTAGAGAGCAAAAACAATATAGCATGTATTTGTAGATAATTAGAGTGTTACTGTCGAATATCACTTATTAAAAAATTACGATGCTATACGTATTGTAAACCAATCAGATCAAGTGATAAAGAGATTTAGAAAAAGTATAGAAATACGATTGAAACTCTCAGAAAACCCTTCTGTCAGTTTACATCAAGATCAGATACTGCATTATATGCATAAATCCTTGGTATTGGACAGAATTGTGTTCCTTCACAAAATAATTGTTTTGCCGCCATATGCGCTTAATGCCGCAAGATGCAACTTCTTTGTTTACAAACTGTCGTCTTAGGTTAACAAAACAGTTTTTTTTTATTTAAAATGTTTTTTCTCGCAAATTTCTAATGAATAAAATTAAGGTTTTATCTGAGACTACTTCAATCGTCTGAGCATAATTTTGAAAAATTCATACATTTCTTTTCATTAATACTTTCTGTTCGCCGCGTAGAATTATTAAATCATAAACGCATAAAACTGTTTGCCACCTTTTCCTTGTGTACGAATTATGAAGAGTATTTGAGGGAGTTAAATTATTTTCTTTTCCTACTTTTCAATCAAGTCTCAGTCCCTCGCAACCCTAAGAAATTTGTTCATAAAAAATATGGTAATTTCATTCAAAAGAATTTTTGGATCGCCCCCCCCCCTTCAATAAAAAAATACATGTCCGAGCGCTGCAGCTAGAAGAGACTAGAGGGCCGATCAATGCAGCTAGGATAGGCTATCTAATAAATATATTAATATTTGTTAAAATATATTGATCATGTACAAAAACCGTTCTCTAGGACAGAACCAAATACCTGATGAGTATGAAGTGTGAAGTATCAACAACGATAAATGTCTCTCTTTAACATATATGATTTCAGAATATATTTTTTCTCTTAAAATGTCTACATATCAAGAAAGGTATAATATTTTACTTTTATCTTAATGCATGCTTTAAGTACAGTAGTGTTATTAAAATTTAATGTTTATTTGAAAATAGTTCCGAATTAAACAATTAAGTGTTCCGAAGTTAAAGTCTTATTTCAATTGATATGACTCTAACGACTTAGGGAACTTAGGGGGCGGGAAAATTGATGATTATTTGAACGTTTTAGAGTAAAAGAATTTGATCTACTTCTGGACTCCGAAGCATCAATTGATATGAAATCACTGAAGAAAAAGTGTTTTAGAGGTAACTCACCCGTACATCTAAGTAATAATTGTAATTAATAAATCCTGAAAATAATTTTTACTAAAATATATTCCATAAAAATGTTAAAAAAAAATTTAACTGAAATCACAACTGAACAAAGAAATGTTTGTTATTGTAAATATTAAGAACAGTATTGGTAGGGTCTGTCCTAAAAAACGATTTTTGGACCCCCCCCCCCTCCTATCAATTTTGTACATGACCACTTATTTTCAGCAAAATTATTATTATTTTCTTTTATATTATTTTAGGGCTGGGTTAGGTTAAGACAATTTCAGGCCGAGCGCTACGGCTATAATAGGCTAGGGTGCCGAGCCATGCGGCTAGGAAAAGCTAGAGGGCCGAGCGCCGCGGCTGGCACAGTCTAAGGGCCTGGCGCTTCGGCCACTTGACCAATTTTATCCATAGATATGAGATACATGTACAAAATTGATAGGAGGGAGGGAAGGCCCAAAAATCTTTCTCTAGGAAATTACGTTATTGGTAAATTAGTCAACCAAAAACTGAACCATTGATTATGATTTTGAAGATTGATTGATTTATTGATTTATTGATTTATTGATGTATTGGTTAATTAATTTATTGATGTATTGATTAATTGATTTATCGATTGATTTATTGATTTATTGATTGTATTATTGATTGATTGTTAAATTTGATTGATTGATTGATTGATTGATTGATTGCTAGGTATTCCGGAAGGTCGAAGCCGGAGATCAATTGCTTGGAGAATATTATTAGGTGAATATTTCAGGGGTTAGCATTTTATTTAAACATCTTATTGAAGCATCAAAGTATTTAAGTATGCTTAAGCATTTTATTTAATTATGTTTTAGCATTTTATTAAGCTTATTAAAATTCTTTAACATGAATATAGTTTAATTCTTGAAAATTGTAATCCTTTGAAATAATTTGATTTTTTTTTTACTTTCTCCGCCATACTTTTATCAAAATTTATTAATCCATTTTTATTAAGCTTATTATCATTCTTTGGAAAAAGTATATATTTTATTGCAGGAAAATTTTCAACAATGTCCAAAATCGTCTACTAGGACGGAGCCCATTTTTTGCTTTTAAAATTACAGGAGGAACTAAAACCTCTGTTAATTCAAATTTAAATTTTGTGATTGTTGTTTTATAAAATGCAGCCAACTATTTCTAAGGTCAAAGACGATTTTTAAGTCTTCATTCAACTAATACATTATTCCAGTTTATTTAAAACAGCACTGTAGATAAAAATTACGGCATTAAAGTAAAAAAAAAGCATGTATTTTTTCATAAATATAAACCTTTGTTTAATATTTTCTACAGATAAGTTATATCAGGGGTTCATCTAGAATTTTCCTAGGTCAATATTATTTAACTATTACCATCAATAAATGCTACTTCACAGTTCACACCATCTTTCAAAGATAGTATTTTAGTCAATCAAATCTGCCACAAAGTTGATTCTTATACCACTACTACAAATTTTTTGACTGAATTTTTTCGAGGGAATTTTTGGTTAACATAGACTAAAAATAAGTATTATTTTTTTTAATTGTTTTAAAAATTCTAGGGGCAACACCGGGCACTTCAGCTTTATAATAAAGCTCTTCGCTTTTATATATATGTATATATGAATAAACCTGTATTTTTATGTTTAGATGTATTGAAGACTGGAATAAAGGAAACAGTAGAGAATAAACTTGCATTTGATCCTGATTTTCACACTGAGCTAACTATCAAAGATGAATTCAAGGATTTAGATTCAGGTAATTTGCATTTAGGGAAATAATAATATTAAAAATAATTGCCTCTATAATTTGTGGGGCTGATAGATGAAATGATTCTATCGAATCCTGAAACGAACTCTCCAGTGAGAGAAGATCATCCCCTCAACCCCAATCCCAATTCAAGTTGGCAGAACTTTTTCAAGGTAAACAATAAAAATTTAAAAAAATTAAGATATTGGAAAATGAAATTTTTCACAAAATAAGCAACGGAATAATTTCTTAAACCCAATGGCTCTCTGGATACAGCTCGGCTTCGGAGCAAAAACTCTACATAAAATTCAACAAAAAAAATAATGAAATTTTTGTCAACAACAAAAAGGAAAAATTAGTTTTTCTCAAAGTCCTGCTCTGGATTTTAACAATTAGAGTGGGGGAAATAGCGGGAGAATGTATTTTTTTCAAATTTTTCTTTCGGGGTTTTTTAAAAAGGGAAATATAAATGAATCTTCGGTGTATTGTTAGAGTAATGGTCTTTTGATGTTGATGCCCCTTGTTTCATAGCAGATGAAAAAATATATTTTACGGTTTTAGATATTCTCTTGTGCATTTTTCCACAAACAATTAATTATCAATCAATTAAGTATTCAATGATCCCAAGACTATTTTTTATTAAAAATATACATACATACATTTATACATACATACATACATACATACATACATACATACATACATTTTACATATTTTAATATTAATGGTGAAGTTATATATAATTAAAGTTAAAGACAATTTGTATATTTAGTGTTACAAGAATATGCAAAATTTTGCAAAAATAGGCGACATGTATTATTATCCTTTATATAAAATATCTTTCATTTCAGTAATTATTTCATTATCAAATCCTTCAATTCAACATATAAATTGTTCATTTTTGTATTTAACAATTCTTATAAAATCGTAACGTTCCATGGATGCTCCGACAAGACATCAAAATATTTATTGATAATTTTTTCCTTTTTAAGTATTAGAGAGCGGAAAAATTAAAACGTTCAGATGTACTAATTGTGTACTTATACACAAGTCATTCCCGGTTACTGTTTCCTTTCAGGGCTTGCTCAATTTTTCATTATTTTTTTTGAATAGGGTCAGCTCAAACATTCTCTACAAAACTTTTCTACGGGAAGAATCTATAAATTTTCTCTTTCCAGGACAATGAGGTGCTACTACAGATAGATAAAGATGTTAGAAGGCTTTGTCCTGATATTTCGTTTTTTTCCCAGGTTCAATATTTTTAAATTTCCTTAGAAACCTAATTTTAGTAGTGGCCATTCATTTAAGGGGACTTTAGGCATTACTTTAAGCGTCCCTTCATTTTTTAGAAAAACATTTCCGATTCACATCGGTAGCCCCTTTCGTCTGATGAAGACAGACATAGAAATCCTTAGTTTTCGAGCTAAAAATCAATTATTTTCAATTGTGGTTTCTCTATAAAAGCGACTTGCGTATCCATAGACGTATTGACAGAATTCTGCTTATAGTTAAAAATTGGACATGGTCTTATGTCAATCTGGGTTTTTTTCAGCGTATTACCTAGCGCCTTTTTAAATTGTTTTTTAAATAGTTTAATCTTAGTACATACCCATCAAACTTTGGAATTTGAGCCGACATTTAATTTTACGTGTATTTGATGTTGTTTTAAAAATCAAATAATTTTACAAGTAGCTTGAGTAGTGAAGTGGGTCAGTGTTCCACTTCTCAATTGCTGTGTTTCATTTTTCATTGAGCAATTAAATATTATAACTTTAGTCTGTCGTCTTTTTACTCCACAGTTTGAGTGGTCTCACATGTAGTATCTATTCTTTTATCCCCTCTAAATATAAAATTTTCCTAGGCAAGTGAATATCCCAACCCTGTGATGGCAGAGAAAGGGTTTGACCGGCTTCATCAACGTGTTACACAGGTATAACCTATGTTTATTCGTGTTTGTAGGCGCGTTCGGCTTTTTCATCTTGTTCGTTTTTTTCAATTGTTCATAAAGAAATTGATTTTGTTCCTTCTTAAAATTATTTTTCATTTTCAGTCTATTTCGTTTGTTTTCTCAGTGAACGATCGTTAAGTAAAATTGGTTGTTCAGTAAAATCGTTAGTTCAAGAAAATTGTTTGTTCAGTATAGTATTTCGTTCAAGAAAGTCGTTCGTTCAGTAAAATAGATCGTTTTTTATTCCCTCAGAAAAAATCGTTCGAGTTCAATAAAAAACAATAGTTTTTTAGAGTTTGTTGAAATCATTCGCTCAGTACAAAAAACGATAGTTCTTTTTCAAAATCTTTCAGAAAATTCGTACTTTCAGTAACAAAAACGAGCGAAATTGTTGATGAATGATCAAGATCATCCGAACGATTTTAAATGGTTCATTTTTGTTTGTTTTCGTTCGTTTTCGAAAAACAATATTTTTTATTTTTCTGAACAGTCCAAGTCGTTCGTTCATCGTTCGTTTTTTTCATGTTCACGAAAAATTTCGTTTGTTCCTAAAAATTTTGTTCGTTCACAAAAATGATGCCCATTTTTATATTTTAGGAAGGAAATCAACTTGAATCAATTGAAAAATAGCATTTAAAAAAGCAATATATCAGAATTAGGGGGTCAGGGGGTGGGCATTTTTTAAAGAGAATTTATTCTCTTTATTTCTCTTTATTTCTCTTTATTCACAGAAAGAACTTTGAAATTTTTTTGGAAGGTATGAAAATAAAAACTTTACAAGAGAAGCTAATCAAATCGAATCAATCAGACTTTTAGGGCTGTCCCACTTCCATTCTGCAAGTTTAAGATGATTTTGCTAATTTAAAATTGTAGCTGGGCATTATGATTTGTAATTTAATGGTTATTCTTCTCTGTTAACTTACACCTATAGAGGCAGATACAACAACCTTTACTTAAGTTGAAATGGAACCAAAGTGATTTTGATGATATTCCATCCTCTAGGCACAATTAGAAGTTGAGTCTAGTCAACGGAAGGGAATTGGACCAAGCATGTAAGTGATTTAATTCTAATATAGAGCGTCCCATATCATAATGGATTATTTTTAAGCTTGAAGCTGATTAGTTCCGAGAATCGCAATTAAAACCTATAAACAATCTAATATGATGTGGGACACCCTGCAGTAGTTTTTAATTCACACACTGCCAATATCTTTAAAGCACCCACTTAATTAAACTTCTTGAATAACTTTACATATTTTAAACTGGACTGGGAGATGCTGTCGTAATTTGTTTTCCTTAAAAAGGGACTGTTAACGTAATTTTTATCAATGCTCCATTTCATGAGGTCCATGCCCGATTCAAAATGGTACCCTTTAAACCTTCGTCTAAACAAATGATTGTGATATCCTCGTTTTTTGTTCCAAAAATTTATCTTTTCCAATAACGGTGTTTTGTGAATTGAAGCAAAAAAGGAATTTGTCAGAATAAAAAACTTTTAAACTTTTCCGGAGATAAACGACGACATCTTCCCAAATAGATTATCAAGCAGAATAGGTGGCAACACAGAAATGGACCAATCATACACAACGTCACAAGTGTCAAATATAACAAAGAAAACGAAATTTTCTCACATTATTTGTCATGTTTTTCAAGATTAAATAGAAAAGTGTAAAAACGGAAAATAAGTACACATAAAATTGCACTTATTTTACTTTAAGATAAGCACTTCATTCTAAAATTATCACTATTATTAATAATTTTATCGGACACAAAACTGAGTTGACACTTGTGATGTAAGAATACAGCTGTACTGAGAGTATACAAATACTACGTTGCCCTCTATTGTACTTAACAATCTATTTGCATCCTCCTAATTTTTGATTAGATAAAGGTTGAAAGGGTGCTGATGTGAAAAGTGCATGAGACTTGTTGAATAGGATTAAATTGCGTCGTCAGTCACTTAAAGACTTATTAAATACTGAAACCTTAATTAGATAAAGGTTGAAAGGGTGCTGATGTGAACAGTGCATGAGACTTGTTGAATAGAATTAAATTGCGTCGTCTGTCACTTAAAGACAAATTAAATACTGAAACCTTAATTAGATAAAGGTTGAAAGGGTGCTGATGTGAACAGTGCATGAGACTTGTTGATTAGGATTAAATACTGAAACCTTAATTTTCTAAAGTAATCTCTTAATGTTTAAGAATGGCCGCAAAACCCAAGAAAATGGATATAGAAGACTATGCTCCTTTGAGTGCTGGGATGGAAGCGCACTGGGAGGTGCGTATATACTAGATCCCATATAGACCAGGGCAAGTGGAGGAGCTCAACCCTATTTTCATTGTATTTCAACCTACAGGTCGTTGTGCTTTGTCTGTAGGTTGATTAATAATAATAATAATATCAATAAGTTTATTGCCGAGCGCACTTATTGTTATTGTTAATAGTATAAGGATGAAGAGTGTTCAAGAGATGTAATGAGAAAAAAGAACATTTAGAAATAAGGTTTAAAATTGATAAGAAAAAATGAATGATTTTTATTAAATGGCTGTTTTTACTTTTAGATGATAAATATGTTATTGCTTCTACTAAAAAAAAGATGTTTTATTCAGTTAGAAAAAAGAAATAAAGAATTAATAAAATTATTTAGAAACAAGTTAAGCTGTCAATCTTTGTTCTTCAAGCTCCCATTTTTCTTTACAAATCGTTATTCCCACACAAAATTTGGCCCAATCGGTTAAGCGGTTTTGACGTTTATTGTTTACAAACAAACAACCAGAGTATAGTTAATAAATATGGCCCGATCGGTCTAGCCGTTCTTACGTTTATTGTACCATAGACTGACAAATATTTGCAAAGTGTATATATTATTAACTTCTTTGGTAACAATTCTAGCTGTTAACCGTCGTATTTTGATGATTTTTTTCTGTTTTAATTTGCATTTTTTTTAAATCGTTGCTCTTCTAGTTGCTATTTTTGTTTTGGCGGATTTTTTCTTTTTTCCGAGCAACATTTGTCATCTTAAACATTCCATCAACCTTCCCTGGGGTCATGTGAGTTCTCACAATAAATTTGGGCCTGATCGGTTCAGCCGTTTTGACGTTTATCGGATACAGACAGACAAACTAAAATGCAACAAATACATAGCTAGATGCTTTACTTCATTTTGTCATTTAATCACTTTTTTACATATTCAAATATTCTTCTTTTATACATTGAGAACCAGAAAACTTCAGTGTATTTGATTTTGTTACTAAGCAAATGTGTTTTACTAGAAACTTATTAAATCACTTATTACTTGAAATGGGTCTGTTTACATTGCTGTGTCTCATATTTAATTGACTACGTAAAGTCATAACTTGAATATTAAAGTCGTCTTTCTATTCCAGAATGTTCTGGTTCTCACTGTTTTACTACGTAAATCTATTAATATTTGTTTAGGTTGTAGAGAGAATACTGTTCCTATACGCTAAACTCAATCCTGGACAAGGAAAATTATTTAAACCATGTTTACAGATTTACATCTTTAAATTTGTTATTTCTTTAATCATTTATTTTACTTATTTTTTTCCAACTTCGAACTGAAAGCAAAAATTAACAAATTCTTGCAAGAATTTTTACTCTCTTTAATAAAGATTGTTTTAATCCAATTTCGCTTTTTTTTGATTGAATTAAAATATTGAACACAATGCTCATTAAAAAGGGAGCACTTCTGATTGAATTAAAATATTTAACACAATGCTCATTAAAAAGGGAACACTTGATTGAATTAAAATATTGAACACAATGCTCATTAAAAAGGGAACACTTTTGATTGAATTAAAATATTTAACACAATGCTCATTAAAAAAAGGGAACACTTTTGATTGAATTAAAATATTGAACACAATGCTCATTAAAAAGGGAACACTTTTGATTGAATTAAAATATTTAACACAATGCTCATTATAAAACATCATTTCACCCCAACCTAATAAAATCTTATAATCCTTTTATTTACACTGTACCTTAATGAGGCTCATGTTTAGAAAATGCTGAGGCTGACTGTTTCTTCTGTTTCACGAACCTAATGTCCGACATCAGGGACTTCTTTATCAAGAGCTTGGACGATTCTCCGACAGGAATCAGGATGATGATGGTTAGAAATATAAAGTACCGTGGTCAATATATGTATCGATACAAAATCGTTTACTTACAGTGTGATAAAATACAGAGGCTGGCATATATTTCAATACAGTATCCGGTATTTTGCTAAATACTAACCAGTGCTCAGTGTAAAATTATCAGGGAAAGAAAATGTATTCTATCACCAATTCGGTAACAGACATTGTTTTAATATATATGATGACCACTGTACTTCGCGTTGCGTTAGTCATAACGGTTTTAACTTACTTGGTTAAGATATTATTTATTTTGCAGATTACATTTTAAAACTAGTTTTTTATTATACGTAAACGTTGAAATTTTTTATTTGATTACAAACTTTTATTTTAGATATTCTAATTTTAGTTTCCATATTTTTTTTGGATTATTTAATTTGTTTTTAGTTAAAGTTGAACTCCGAGCTGGAGAGCTCGGACTGGGAGGTTTTCACACGGTTGGACTCACAGGGAATCAAAATGCAATTTTTTGCTTTCAGGTATTAGTTGGTATCAGGGGTATGGGGCATTAAAAAGGTATTATTAGTTGGTATCAGGGGCATTAAAAATCCAGACAATATTTTGAAAGCCAAGTTGCCGAATGAATGCCACAAATTGCAAATATCCAAGACGCTCTTTAAGTCGTCTCTTAAAAGTTATATTTAGCGGAAATCCCTGTATTTGTATTGTTCAGGTGGATTTCCTTGATGCTATCCCAGGAGTTTCCTTTGCCTGAGGTCCTCACAATCTGGGATGCATTGCTCACTGATGATTCAAGGTATAATTATTAATGTTATTGCGAAGCACTAGACCATCTTTTCCCTCAGCTCCGCACGGTGCTTTAGTACCCTCGATCAGGGTCCGCAAACAATGTGCAGATAAACGAATATTATCGTTTTTCTGAAAAAATATGGATAACCCCCTATCATTTTTTATATTTGAATGGGTACTACTGTGAATCAGACATGCAACTCTAAATTACGTCTACAGCTCTTTAGGGGTGTGGAGAATGTAGATATATATTTCAGGTTAACTCCCATCTTAACTAAATAAAAACATAATTGCAGGCTCAAGAGTAAAATATAGTAAAAAACTTGGAATTTAAGAAATGGCTTAAAAATTTGAAATAAAAAATCCTTTGGTTCTTTTGTTATCGACGTGAAATTTTCTGTGTTTTTTAAGCTGTACTTCCCTCGCAAAATGACGATTTTTTGCGAGGGAAGTTTTGCGCAGCATCTACCCCCGATAATTGTTTCAAAGTTTTCGAATATAAAGTTGGAAACCCTCGTCTCTGAAAATGTTAATAGACCCTATCTGCCTTTCTTAAGTTTTTCTGCCGATTGAGAAATAGATTTATTTCATTTTTAGGTGTGATTTGCTGATTGCTGTGTGTCGGAGTATGTTAAAGCAAGTTAGAACACAATTGCTGAGCAATGATTTTTCTTCCAATGTGAAACTGCTCCAGGTATATTGGATGACAGAACCAAAACAAACAAAAAATGTTATACAGTGAGAATCAGAAAACTATGGAATAGGAAGACGACTTTTAGGTTTAGACTCACGTTATGGCTTTTAATAGTGCAATGAACACGAGACATAGCAATGTGCAGTGTAAACAGACCCATTTCACTTAATAAGTGATTTGATATAACTTACAAGTATAGCTTTTAGCTTTGTAACAACATGAAATGTATACTTGAGTATTCCTTTAATGTCTTCTTCCTATTCTACAGTTTTCTGGTTATCACTGTAAATACATAAAAAAAGTAGATCTACGCATTGCGCATTCGGCAGGACTAGAGAATGATAACTGTAAAAAAAATTAATATTGAATATTTTTAGAACTACCCAAGCATTGATGTACGAATAATACTGGACGATGTATCTGAGAAGTTCAAATGATCCTTGCGCTCTTTTGACGCACCCACAAGTACATTCCTTGCTTCCAATGTTTCTTGATTTTTTGGAAATCTTCCGTAGATTTTCATACTTTTTTCTGACCAGGTTAATCATAGATACCCCTCGAAATTGTTTTGAAAATTAAGTCACAAAGGATAAAAAACAAAAATATGCTGTTATACTTTTATATCTAGAAAATGACGTCTAAAAATGCTATTCCTTTTCAGGGGCTTAAGTTCAAGTAACCATACATTTAAAGAGGTATTCCTGTTTTTCTTTCTACGAATTGTGGGTTTTTAATCAAAGTAACTGGCGGGCTTCTTGCAACAAAAAAAAACTAAAAAATCAAATTGGAAATTGTAAGAATTAATCACTTTTCAAGCTATTAATGGAGGGTTGCATTAAAAAACGTCAAAAGTTTCTTTAGATGGAATTATTAAAATATGCTTACATGCAACTTTCTACGTTTATATTTTGAAAGATATGGGCTGTGTTGAGTAAAAAAATGTTAAACAACGGTAAAATATCAATTATAAAATTTTCAAACCCAACAATTTGATCCCTCAATTTTATCCATTTTTTCATTTGTTACAAAGCAACTTTCTCAAACTTCTTTATTTATAAAGATTTAATGAAACAAATAAAGTTCTCAGAGATCTTTGCATTATTTTTTAAATAATGTTATTTGATACAAATACAAATAAAACATAATGTGATTTATACATGATGACAATAAATATAATTTCTATAATAATAAATGTAACCTCAAGATTGTTTATCGGCATTGAAAGTATTGGTCAGCTTTATCCAACAAGGTTATAGTATTTATACAGCTAAGTGATAATATATGTTAATCTCTTACTGATTTCTCAAGGCCGTGTCGGCCGTGTACTTCACTAGGCCGGACTGTATATTACTGTATGGGGAGGGGTACTAAAAATGATTGTTTTACTTATAAAGAGACATTTGACTACTAGAAAGAAAACTCAAAAGGACTGTAGACGTAATTTAAAGTCATACTATTAACTTTGTCTGATTCAGAATGTATGAGATTTTAGCGAAAGAAACCGAAAATTTTTGCGCGAAAAAAAAACCACTTAGTGCAATCATTCACAAACTTCATTCCGTGAAGAATTGCGCATATTCCGCTTTTAGGTTATTTTGTTTAAAAAAATTTTGCGGAACAAATTCTTAGTAAAAGATTGAATAAAGATGTAAACTGTATAAATTAGTTATCTATGGAATTGCACTTTGCCTTAAACTTAATTTTGCAACCTGATGCATGATGGCACACTGCAAATCAAGATGTCGAGCAGCTTTTTGCCCAAATTACTTATTTTAAACTGAAAATAGAAACACAGTTAGATTCAGTCATTTATAAAACTATTCATTAATTTTTAACTTTCTGTTTTTATTTAATTTTTGTTCCTCAATTTGAAGATTTTATAAATGAAAGTAACCAATTGAGAGCAGCATAATCATAATCATAATTTATGTGTAAGTCAATTTTTTATTGAACCTTCAGTTGTTTGATTCTGTGCTGAAATTGTCAATTTTCAATAACATGTTATTGTTTTGCAAATAATCAGCAAAAAAAATCGAAATAACGCGCAAAACGTATGGCGCTTCATTCGCTAAAGTTCGCATAAAAAATATTTGCGCGAAAATTTTGTGCAAAAAAAATGGTCATTTCGTGGAAACCCTAGAGATATCCCAAATTTTCACTTGAAAATAGTTTTAAAGTATAGCTGCAGGTTTCTCTGTAAAAAGACCTGCGTATTTCTTGCTTTTAAATAAAGGAGGAATCCTTTCTCGACATGGCCATTTGTACACTATTACAAGAGGGGAAAGAGGTAAAATATTTCTTTTCAGATTTTTAAATTTTTTTCAAGTTAAGATTCAGCTAATGTATGTTGAATAGTAATGTTTTGACTTATGAATTTATAAACCAGATCAACAAACATTTGTGGAGTTTTTTATGTACCCCTCTTTGCTGACTTATGGAGGTCAAAATATGAAATCAATGAAAATAAGTCATATGAGGTATCAATTCATAGGTTTTTTGATGCTCTGATTCCATTCTGATACCCCTCTTTGACCTCAGATTATCCTGGAGGTCGTGACCTCCATAAGGATTATCAGAATAGAACTGGAACACCAAAAAACCTAAAGACCTATGGAGGTCAAAATATGAAATCAATGAAAATAAGTCAAAAGAGGTATCATTTCATTGGTTTTTTGGTGTTCTGATTTCATTCCGATACCCCTTTTTGACCCCAGATGATCCTGGAAGTGGTGACCTCCATTGGGTTATAAGAATGGAACCGGAACACCAAAAAACCCAAGATTTGATACCTCACATTACTTATTTTTGTTGCTCTTATTTTTTGACCTGGCCAGACCATTTTTAGTTTTTTTTTAATTTGGATTTAATTTACTTTATTCATTGCACCGACGTTTTGTAACATTTTCTTTTTATTACAAACTAGCAGAAGTGCCAGGCGTTGCCCAAAAAATTTAAAAAATCAAATCAAAGCAAAAAACTTAAAATTATTTTCTGGACCTCTGTCCTTTTTTTCATCTCATAGAATTGAAGTTTAATTAAGATTACTTTTAATTTTCAAACATGTCTTTTACTATCTCTAGTATAAATTCTAATTATTACTAACATAATAGAGTTTTTACTTTTTTCTGCTAGTCTTGTTTGAAGGAGAGATAAAGTATAGTCATACATGCAAGGTAATTGTATGTGTACCTTTAAAGCATCTGATACTTATGCCTTATATCCAAGAAACCAAATGTTTTGAATTTACCGTTCAAATTTTGCTCCCCCCTAGGAGCTCCTGGGGGGGGGGCAAAAAAAATGTTGACTTTGCGCAAATTTTGCTCCCCCCCCTAGATTTATTTCTGTATACACCCTTAAAATTATATCTTATTATATTATAATACCAAAATTATAAAGAACCATAAGGAAGAAATTTAAAGAATATAACTTACATGTTTGGTTTGATGTCATCTTTAAGTTGACCTCCAGTTGTCTGGCGAGTCTGGGCATTGCATGTCCCTGACACAGAGCTCTGACCAGAAACTGGTGAGAAGTGGTTTCCATTGATAATCATCTGTCTACCATCGTTATTCTTGTTATATCTCGTTCTTGTCCCTTAAGAAGAACCTTCCTACTTAATGAGTTTTTACAGAAAAAGCCTTTTTCAGTCAAATTTTTAGAGTACTTCAACACAAGATCACAACTTTGAAAAAAAAAATTCTCATGCAACCAAGGGACTTGAACAAGAGGTTCATTGTATTGACTCAATTTTCTTGATCCACACAACACTTCCTGCATCAATATTTCCAACAAACTCATTAGCAAAGTTTGCCTTCCTTTCCATTATTTAGCCACTCCCTTAGAACACAACATATTAGTCTGGCCTGGCCTTGTTCAGTGCTTATCCAGTATGCAATTGTTAAGGTTCTTAATAAATATTGGTAAAAACATACATTATTTAAACCTCCATAATTCTAAATATCAAAAATTAGTCTTTTAGTTAACTTTCTCATGTCAATACCAACAATTGTTTATGTTAAAAATTATAGAAAATGTTTCCTGTCTGACAAAACACATGCTTAACAGATTAGCTTTTTCAAAGGGTATGCTGTTGTTAATTATATCTTCTAATGGTAGCACCAGTCAGATGAGAGCGGAATATTCCAACCAATACAATGCTGAGTACTTAATTCTTTAGATCTTCTTAGTTTGGCCGAAAAGGTCTAAAGATTTTGTGCACAGCACGGGCAAGAATGTACATGCTCTAAACTGACCGCGGTACCACCATGATCGAGAAGGTTGAATTAAAGCAGCGTAGGCTGTAGGTAGCCTTCCTGTCAACAGTTTGACATTTTTTACACACCAAAAAACATTTACATTTCACATAAATCATTATTGTCCCAAACAAGATAACTGTTAGGTTTGTGTACCAGTTCATAAACCAGCTGTTCTTAAAAGTTACTTGCTTTAGGTATTATACCATTGACTGAGGATGAAAAGGGTGCTTGGAAGATGAAGTTCTTCTCATGGAAAAATATTGCAGCATTTGTAACCTGGGCCCTTATTCCCGTATCCTTGCAGATAGTTATATTTTTTCTGCACTCCATGTATATATCTGACCATAAAACTGTGTTTCAAATCATCGGGATTCTTAGTATTTGCAGTAACATAGCAATACCCCTGTTGCTGCCCGCTTTAATGGCTAACTTGGTATCTAAGTCTGAACCATCCCCAAACAAATGTGACTATTATTGCAAAGTATATTGGCTAGGATTTTATGTAATAATACAACTGGTCATTATTGGACTAAACATTTTCCAAATCACAAAGAGCCCATCATCTAATCAGGTATTAAATGTTCTTGGGATTATTTTGTTAACTTCAATGCCAGTAAGTAATGTAATGACAATGGTGATTGTCAATGTGGTTTGCACTACCTTTATTGAAGATGTTATTACAAGCCGTAAAACTTTTGGAGTTGATGGTCTTGTAGAAAAATATACACAGTTGGTTGAAAAATATGAAAAAATAAAAGTCGGATTTAGTCCTTATCTACTCATCCATTTGCCAGTACTAACTATGTTTTTTATTTTGTATGCCTATGCTATAATCTTCGCTATAAGCAGTGGCTCCTACAATTCAGAAGGCTCAGTGGAATTAAGCCTGCTAGCCTTTACAGTTAATATATTCTACATCATTATTCTCTGTGATGAAACATACAAAGCAATTACCAATGGAAGTAATTTTCTTAGGTAAAAATATAAGAATTAATATTTATAGATTTAAAGCAATATTTCTTCAGGCAACAGGCATTGAAGTGTAATGGTGAGTTTTACAGAGAGAACCTTAACTTAGGTATTGTATAGCTAGTTTCCGACTGTTTGTCAAATCTGATAATTAAATTTTTAAAGAGAATAAATCAAAAATGTATAATTTAGTTATTGGGATGTTGGATAATCTGAAGCCTTTTGATGCATTGGGATTCTTCTTTGTGGACAAGACAACATTTATTACAATCATAAGCAATGTCATTGCATACCTTGTCATTATGATTCAGTTTAAATAGGAATTTTTTGGCATGCATGTATGTTAAAGTGTGTTTTTGTTCTTCATGTACTATAAAAGCAATCTTAATAAAAGTTCTACATGTAACATATTCTTGAGATCATGCTAGTACTATCTTTATTATCTATGTTCCGTTTATCTATATTATCTATATTATCTATTTTATCTATGTTTCATGTTGACTCTGACCGGCCATTCCGGTCAGCTTATATTTACCTGTATCAATAAATTAGTATAGTATCAATACTCGAATTAGACAGACGTATAGAGCCAGGGTTTTTGGCTAGAGATTGAGTCGGGTAGACTGATCGTTAGAGTTAGAGTCAAGTAATAGGAGATTGATCGCGACCTAGATTGTTACATACATTTAAGCAAATTTGCCTCTTCAAAGGAAAAATCATACACAATTTATCTGACCGCACCAACCAATGAGGATGAATGTCTTGCCATTTTCCTTAAAAGGATGACTCAAAACATGAATCCGTATGCCCCACAAGTAGGGTTTCCAATCGCAATAGCGTTGCGCGCAACAATGAGCAACGATGCGCAACAGTTGCTTACTTTTGCGCATTAGGGTTGCGTGCAATACAGTAATTTTTGCAAATTGATTCGCAATATCTATTGCGCGAAAAGTTTACATTCCGAATACAAATTTTGCGCTATATGCGTTATTGCGTTATCATGTGCATTGGTACTGATAACTATCCTTTTAAAGAAACAGTGGCCCCCCCCCCTTTGTTCCTGGCCCCTGCAAGTGCACTCGCCACTCAGTATTCGGTAATCGTCGAAGTCAGTGTTTGTCAGAGGTAAACCTATTTAAATTATACACACTGAATGTTTTTGGAGGGGGGGGGGCATTTGAAAATTCTATTGTCTGACAGGGCATTTGCACCCCTTTTTCATATAATAGTTTTAGTGATCATGGCTTTTTTTTAATGGCCACAATGTTTTATTTGTCACTTTCTGTAAAACTAATAATTTCGCAGATTGTTCTATTATTAGTGATGGATTTAGGGCTGTAATTTGAGGAAGAGGTGGGGAAGGGGGGGGAAGGGTCGTTTTTAGAGACAATTTTTCACTGTTACTATTCTAGAAAATATAACAGCCTTTATCGATTTATGTGATCTACCACAAATTGTGGGCCCTATTAGTATTGGTTTTGCCGTTTCATTATTTACACAAAAAAACAGACATACATCTACAAATAAGCTATAAAATGTTCATTGTACAATGCACAGGTGTCCAACGAAACATGATACTTGGTGAATTATAGTTTTAAATGTCTTCTTACATATTTTGTTCAGTTCTTTGAGGCCAAGTCAAACAGAATAATAAAAAAGATGACACAAAAAGTTCTTTATGTCATAAAAACAAAATAGGAATAATTCGTACCAAAATTGTTCACCAACTGTCATGTTTCGCAGGTCACCCTGTATAAACTAGAACTAACATGATAAGCACAACGTCCCCCTCCCCCTTTCTGATGAATAGTTTAAATTTAACCCTATTTCTGCATCACACATTATTAGATTTTGATTAACATATTTGGACTTTCGCAAATATATGAAAATTATTTTTATATTATTTATGTAGTTAAGTCAGGGGTTTGCTCAATATTTTTATGAATCTTTATATTTTTAGGAAGGAAGAAATCAAGATTGGTCCTAACAAGCGCAGCTTTGTTTGGGACTACTTTTCAGTCACTGTAGAATTACTAAGTACAGAAGTCGTCTAGCTCCAAGTAGTTCGGATAATTTTAGTTTTGGTCATTCTTTCTTTAAAAGAGAACATTTCGGCCTCATTAAGCTTCTACCCATATTATTTGCAAAATATTTAATATTTTTATTCCTTGTTTTTTTTCTTATCATGTAAATGTTTTACCTTTTCATCCTAATTCTAAATCTTATTTAAATCTTCGATTCACATCTAAATTTTTTATTTAAAATTGAGTAAATATAACAGTACTTTGCCAGCCATCTCATGTCTTTATTATTCTATCCTTATTACGTAGAAGCTTAATGATGGACGTTAGGTTAAACATAATATGTATTATATACTGTTGAAACAATATGAAAATTTAATGATTTAATAAATGGAATTATTTCGAATTTTTATATTTATTGCACTAGAAAATCTTGTCTTTGCGCAATATTGCGCTTATTTTTTTGCGCAAAAACGGCGCAATCTTCATTGCGAATTGTGAAAGGCAAATATACGCAAAGCTACGCAATAAAAAAGGTTGTTTTTTGCGCATTATTGCGCTTTAATTCATTGTGCAAAATTACGCGATCTTTATTGCGAATTGTAATGCGCAATAGCTCAAAAAAAATTTTGCGTGAAATTTAGCACAAAGAAAAATGCCATTGCGTCGAAACCCTACCCACAAAGAGTAATACTAGACAGAGACTGGGTGTGCTTGGCTTTTTTCATTTCGTTCGTTCGTTGTTCATGACCAGCCCATTTTGTTCTTTTTTGCTTTTTTCATTCGCTTTTCCAAACGATAATTTTTTCATTTCTCTAAACGATCCATTTCGTTTGTCCATCGTTTGCTTTTTTTCTAAACAACACCCTTTTTCACGAAAAATTTAGTTCGGCCTCAAAATGTTTGTTCATTCAAGAAAACAATGCCCTTCTCTAACTGTAAGACGACCTGAAACTCTTAAGATATGACGATATCAAGGTTAAATTAATTTTGCTTTGAATAAAGGGTTTCCAACAACTTAAAGTTTGTCTCTTAAATTTGAAATTATTTTCGTTATTTAATTATTTATTACTTTCAGATGTATGAATGAAACGATGATATTAAAATTCTTCTAGTCCTGGCATATCTGGTAATATTGAAAGCACAAAAAGACAGACAACATTTTGGAAATGCCAGGACTACGATTATTTTGTGATTATAAACTTTAGTATTATACTTCTAAGATTAAGTATACAATTAAATGCCGAAAGTTGTTTTAAAGATCACACCTTCAATTCGCCTTGCTACTGTCTGTTTCGTGAGACACAATGTAGCTTACAAAATGACAAAGATAGAAACCAGATTACAGTTGCAGGGAATCATAAATATAAGAAAATAGCCAGAATAAATGCCATACAGTCGTCTCTGAAGTCTTATCCTTGTGGATAACCCTGTAAATAAAGTAATAATCTCTGTACTTGTTTGGATGTCCGAACTCCAAAACATGAATATCTAATAAGCTTCAAAACCTGAAAACTTAATTAACTCTAAAACATGAAAACTTAATAAACTCCAAAATAAAAATAGGGAATACTTAATACACTCCAAAACATGCATGCTTAATAAACACCAAAACATGAATACTTTATAAACTCCAAAAAATGAATGCTTAATAAACTCCAAAGCATGAATACTTTATAAACTCCAAAACTTGAATACTTTATAAACTCCAAGACATGAATACTTAATAAACTCCAAAACATGAATACTTAATAAACTCCAAAATATGAATACTAAATAAACTCGAAAATATGAATGCTTAATAAACTCCAAAACAGGAATATTTAATAAACTCCAAAGCTTAAACACTTAATAAACTCCAAAATGTGAATACTAAATAAACTCCAAAATATGAATGCCTAATAATCTTTTAAACATGAATACCCAATAAACTCCAAAATCTGAATACTTAAACTCTACAACATGAACACTAAATAAGCTCCAAAATATGAATACTAAATAAACTCTAAAACATGAATACTTAAACTCTACAACATAACACTAAATAAGCTCCAAAATATGAATACTAAATAAACTCCAAAACATGACTAAATAAGCTCCAAAATATGAATACTAAATAAACTCCAAAACATGAATACTTAAACTCTACAACATGAAAACTTAATAAACTCCAAAACATGAACACTTAAACTCTAAGACATGAATACTTAATAAACTGCAAATCATGAATACTTAATAAACTCCAAAGCATGGATACTCAATAAACTCCAAAACATGAATACTTAATAAACTCTATAAGACATGAATACTTAATAAACTCCAAAGCATGAATATTTGATAAACTCCAAAATATGAATACTTAATAAACTCCAAAACATGAACACTTAAGCTCTAAGACATGAATACTTAATAAACTGCAAATCATGAATACTTAATAAACTCCAAAGCATGAATACTCAATAAACTCCAAAACATGAATACTTAATGAACTCTATATAACATGAATACTTAATAAACTCCAAAACATGAACATTTAATAAACTCCAAAATATGAATGCTTAAAATCCAAAATTTAAATACTTAATAAATTCAAAACATGAATATTTAATAAACTTGAAAGCATTAACTAATAATATTAAGCATCGATTAATTAATACTTTATCAACCCCGAAACATGAATACTTAATACAAGTACAAAATGTAAATTCTTTACTAAAAAATTGCAAAACAACAAAGCCCCAAAAAAATTATTGCACTGGTTTGACGGGATTTATGTTGCAAAATCTAAAGGGTAAAATCCTAAAAAATTTAATTTGATCGAATCATAAATTTAACAAAGTTAAATCCAAGTTTAGTTCTTTAAACTAAAAAGTTATGAAGAAATAATCCCCTGGAATCAGGGTTTATGATGAGATAATATATATATGGAGTTATAAATCTTAAATCTACTTAGACACATAAACAGTAATCCAGGGGTAAGCTTTTTAACTCAAAACATATGTTTCTAAGAATATTAATGCTTCGAACTTAAATATAAAAGATGAGGGAGGGGGTGCAGGGCTGCAATGAGCCCCGCAAAATGGTCTCCAACCTTTTATCCCAGATTAGTATTTAAAATGACCTGGCGCTACCTGTAAATGTTAGAATAGATATTATAGAAGTAATAAATAGCAATTTTAAAAGAAAATTTTGAATTCTTTTAATAGTTAAGCAGTGAGTTCTTGAATATCCAAAAAACAGTGCAGAACTATAAATATATTAAATACTTTTGCTACAAATTTTACACATTTACTTTTAAAATTTCTATTATAAAGGATAGGGGTAGCGGCGGGTCATTTAGAATACTCAACTGCGAATCCAGAGACTTGGAGACCATTTGTAGGGGTCATGGCGTCCATCCTTAATAGATGCGCTCGACTTAAATGAAGAATCTTTAAATGTTAGCAATTTAAAAACTTGATTTTCTGTCAGAATAGTGGTCAGTTCTTTCAATGATATTGTTTCTATGCAGCTTTACCAAAAAACTATGATAATTGGCGTTTTTCAGTCACATAAATGGATTAATTAAATTTCAAGAATATAATTTTTGTTTTTAAAAAGAGAACTTTTTCTTAATTTTGAAACATAGAAGTTGTTAAGACACTAAAATAAAAAATCTGTGAAGCCAAAAGCTCTTTAAATGATATACTGAATGATTTGACAAATATAGAAACAATTGTTTAAAACTGCAGGGAACCAAAAATGTAAGAAAAAATACTGAATGCAAAATCTCAAGAAAATAAAGATGTGACCCCCTCCTTATATTTTTATGATATTTGAGGGTAACATTCCCCTTTCTATTAAATATAAATATATACATATATTAAAAATTAGATTTCAGATAAAATAATCATTAAGGTATTTAAAGGAAAACACTGTTTCCCTTCATAAGAATTCAAATTTTGATCTTTGTAGGTCTGAGTAATAATGATGCTAAAACTGGTAGCTCTATACATATGTATTACAATCTCCAACTCTCATGGTTAGTATAAACATTAAAAATATCTTGTGTAGGGCGCCGTATTTCATCTATTTTTTAAGAATGTTTTATCATATTACGCAAAATGTCGACTCTGATGTCATTATCACAAAAAAGGATATTTATAACGATTGACCAAGGTATTCTTCTTTTTTATATTTCTGCATTATAAATTCTGCAACTTCTCTCTCAATATGAAGAATCAAATATAACATATAACTTACATCTTTCTTCAGTTAGTATTTAAATATATCCCTATTTCCATTGCTCTCATTAAGAGAGTCTTATTAAGGTTTGAGTGTACTAGTAAGCCAGGATTCCTTTGTAAACTTGGCTAAAAATTTCCTCTCCAAACCTGACCTGCTTGCAACTGCTCTAGGAGCAACAAGATCAAAAAGAAGCATATATGATAAAGAGTTTAGTATAGATAACCTTGGAATAAGTGTTGGTGTAAAGTTTATTCTTCCTGATAACCCAAGTCTAGGAGGGAAAGCTGATATTGAAATAAAAGATCTTTCTAAGCTAATTCCATTCAAAAACATAGGATTAGTAAAACTTGGAGTCACATATAAATCTTACGGTTTGATGGTTGAGTATGAGTTTCATCATCCTCATGATGAACAAGGAACTATAGGCCTAATCATATCAAAAAATAAAAATCAAAAAATGATATCATTAAAATCTCTCATTAAAGCATCAAAACATGATGTAAAAAGGTTAATCATTCCGTTTGAAATTCAATTAAACTTAACAGGAAGTACTGAAGTAGAAGGAATATTAACATACTCACATCATCATGGGGTGGAATATCCAATACTTATTAGAAACGATAATGACACAGTACATTTGATGATGGAAACTCAAAGGAGATCTACTTTGCTTGATTTCAGATTTAATTGGAAGAAGCCTGACCTTCAAATCCATCTTGATTTTGATGATTTAGGCTATATGTTTTTCATAGAACTCAGTATAGAAAACAATCAAGAAGAAGTTGAAGCCTGTGGATTGTTGAAAATATTTGGAGGAAAAACAAGCTTTAAAATAGAGATAGATAAAATGTTAAAAAGTATATGTCTGAAAATTGCCCCTTTTAATCAATTAGAAAGGACCTATAAATACAAATTCAGAAAGATACCTGACCTGATGTTAAAAGAATATGAAACAAATGCTTATGAGGTTCTGGTTAATTCTGGCTTCCTACTAGATCCTCCTATATCAATGAGGTTGGGATTTAAGAGAATAAACTTACAGAGATTGAGAAAAAGAAATGAAATTGAAGTGAAAATTTGTCTCGCATTATTCCCAAACCACTTCAGGAAGTCAAAGTATACTACAATAATAATTCAAAGGGATAGGTTCATTCCAGAGTATGACCAGGGACAAGACTTTTCTGAATCTCTGCATGCATTTGCCGAATATGAAGGAATCCAGCTGCTTGAAACTCATTCTGAAATTTTGGGTTTGAACAAACTCCATTGTAATACTGATGCTTGTGACCTTGAGATCAACTTTTCAAGTAGTTTACATAGAAATATATTTGAAGATCTTGAGCTATTGGATTTATTTAGATATATTCCATGCAGTCAAGTTTCTCTAAAAACCAGAGTTAATATCTTAAATCGACAGATGAAAGCATTAGCATTTGAGATTCAGACAAGTCGGGTTGAGAGAGACTACCGGATGATAAAGCTAGAATGGGATAACAAGCATGAAAAAGTAAAGTTGAAATCTGATTTGATCATTTCTCCTGGAAGAACACACAGTATAGATCTTTCTGTTTCTTCAAGCTTAGATAAAATGAAACTAGTTTACAAAGGTTGGCACAGGGAGGTTGTTATAGATTGGAGGGAAAAGCCTATTCGTAATAATGGCATAGCTAGTTATGAATTTAGATTATTCTATGATGATGATTTGATGGGAGCAGGAATACTGAATATAAAAGATCAGCATACAGAAGTTGTCTATACAGGACAACATGGTAGGTTCTCTTATCTTGACTTTCAGTTCCTTATCTTTAGCAACAGAATCAATGATAGTTCTGTGAATATCAATATAGAGGGAAGTTCTAAACCAGTTCTGGAGGAATCAAGATGCTCTTTTCTGATCTGGAACACAACCTATACATATAATCAAAACTATGGAGACCCAGTACTGATGATTGATTCAAAGCAGCTTCTAGACACAAGAATATTTGAAGCTGAATGTCAAGATCAACGAATGTACAACTCTTCTTCTTTAGGTTTTAGCCTCTTAGGACGCAGAAAACAACCTTTTCAAATGTCACTGAACATGGATTTGAAATCAGAACTGTATCCCTCTGGGCAACTGAATGTTATTACTAGTTTAACTCCATGGAACACCCTGATGATTCATTCTGAGAATTATACAAAAGACGACTATATTGAAGGAATTGAAGAGTCTTCCAACCCAATGGTTGATAACTATCTAAGTATTGTTACAAACTATATTTTAAAATCTGACTCATTCCAAGATGGGACATATGCTGAAATTGTTTTTGCACCATTTAATGGAACCTTTAAACTTCAATCAAAGGAAAAAAAATTTGAAATAATATTAGACCCTGCATCTGGAAAATATCTTAGTATTGGCACAAATATCAAACAGATCCCTTTCACCCATTATCGTTTTGAGTCATTTAAAATTGATGCTGATGGTGAATGGAGAAATATCCTTCATGATGATGTTAGAATTGCTAGATACAAACTTAAAAGAGAAGATTTTGGAATGAATGAGTTACTAGACAATGAAGTTAGTGTAGTCCTAGCTCCACTTTTAGTTCACATTGAATGGAATTGCACCTCAAACTACAAACTGAAAGATTTTAAAATTATGGGATCTCCAGGATGGTATTTGCACACACCTTCCCATGAACTAGATGAGCAAGCAATATTGGACAATCCTTTGTTTTCAATCAAATCCCAAAACTGATCACCCCTGTAAATTATATTAAAGTTGATGTTTTTTGTGTTTGGTTAAAAATTCAAATATTATGCTTTATTTTCTAAGCTGTCTTCCATAAGCAGGCTAATGTATTTTCTTCAAAGTTTGAAAATTGTATAAGCTTAATTTGAAATACATATTTAATATCATTCTTTTTGTTTTTGTATTTTTCCCCAATCATTTCGGTTGCTCATTACAATATATATGAACGTAATATTATAATTTCATTTTTCAACATTTACTGTTAGCTAATAACCATATGTAATTTATAATACACATTGGGTGATTTACTGTTAAATGTTCCTTGGCCCAACTGGCCACCACTCCTTCTAAAAAAGTGCAAACTTCTTTAACTATTTCTTTATCTAGATCTTACATAACCTGGAATAGTATAATCAATAATGTTGCAATTTTCCAATTTAAATGAAGGGTATTTATCCAAATATTGTAGCAGAGCCAATAGTGTCTTCCTAAGAAATCCACCAACAAGATTATTTAAATTTATAAACCTACAATTTCGGAGATGAGAATATGGAGAGAACTACTCAACCTTCTCCTCTTATCTACTCTGATTATATATGTATATGATTAACCATCCTTCTGTTAATAAATGTACTTTTAAAATGTAATGTATTTTGTTTTTTATTTTTATGGTCTATTTTAACATTGACATTGTTGGTTTATATTTGTAAACTAAGCTTAAATGTAGATGAAATAAAAGAAAGGTTTTCTAAAACACTATGATATATATTGGGGGAGAGGGGCATATTTCTTAGGATTACTGGGAAATGGTGCAAGTCAGAAGACGAAGGCAAACATTTTAACAATGAATTAAAAATGAAAAATTAACAATTCTGGAAAATGTTGTTTTGTGTGTTTATCATGTAGTATCTTAGATAGCCTTCACAATTTGTTTATGTTACAAATCATGCATCTACTTATGAGACTGCAGAGCACAAATTGAAGTGATAGCCATGCATATGAAGAAAACTGCAGAGTGTAGAGTGCTTGACAAAATTCTTGTTTTTGCATCAGAATTTGTACATTTCAGCATATCATGATTACAGATAAAAAAGAGAGCAGTACTTTAAAGAATTTTTTCCAAAAAGATTCCTCTTTGGTTTTACAAAATATACATCGCTAACTATTGTGTACCTTATTTACAAATATAACTCATTTTTTAAATGAAACTATTTTCAAAAATCTACTTTTTATCAGAAAACACAAAAGGACATTTTTGTGTCTAATGTAACTATAGGTACAGGGTGTCCCACGAAACATGACAGTATGCAGGACGACTTGAATGTCGTCTTAATTTTTGATATAATTTGCTGCGTTTATTTGTCAACCTAATTTTAGAAGTAAATTTCTAGAGATAATAATCCCAAAACTTCCCTTGTCCTGCCATTTCCAAAATGTGGTCTGCCATTTTTGTGCTTTCAATATTGCCCGAGATATGAAGAATTTCGTTCAGATTTCGACAATTTTGCTTTTATTTAACAAAATTGAAATCTGAACCAAACTCTTTATATCTCCGGTAATATTTAGATAGAAGACTAAATGTCACAAATAAATTCAAATACCAAAGACGACTTTCAAGTCGTCTTGCTATTGTCATGTTTCGTGGGACACCCTGTAGGTCATGATATTTTTATATAAATTACAGAGTTTTACAGGAAAATAAAAACATTAGAATTTAGTTACAATCAATTATTTATTTTCATTTAACATTCAGAACACATAGTAAAATAAAGATAAGACAAAACTTAAAGATAAAAGCATACAAGCTGCTAATAGTTTCCCAGAGTACAGAATCAGTTATGGCGCAGTTGGTTGGAAAGATGTTGCGGCATTTGTTACTCCTGTCTTATATCTATTCTGCACAATCCATTCATGATCAGTACATCACTGTGGATTCATACTTAGGGTAGGATACTTGGACATTAGACACGCCTATAGGAATACACACTTTCCAGAACTCATTGAAATCTCTTTATTGAAAGACAAAATTGACATTCTATCTATCCTTCAAACTAGGGTTTTCAATTTTTCCTGAAATTAACAGAAGCAGGATCCAGCTCAATAGAATGTTAAATAAATCTATCCCCTTATAGATGCTACAAAGTTGTGACATGCTGAAAAAAGTTTTTTGGATAATTATTTCAAGTGGAAATGATCCAGAATAATTATCCAGTAAACTTTCTTCAGCATATGTCAGTGTCACACCTAGCTTTGTGTTATTTCCAGGGGCGTATTCAGGAATTTGTCAAGTAAAGGGCTCAGCAACCGTTGGGGCCTGAAAACCCCCTAAAATCAATAGATTTCACTGGTCCAGGGGGGGCTTAGCCCCCATAGCCCCCCCCTGAATACACCTCTGGTTATTTCATATGGAAATGATCCAGAATAATTATCCAGTAAACTTTCTTCAGCATATATCAGTGTCATACCTAGCTTTGTGAAGCATCTTGTAGGCAGATTTATTCTTAATTGTGTTGACTAATTGGAAATCCTACTTTTAAAACTCAGAATGGAGAAATCTTCTATTCTGTTCTATCTGTCAACAACATTATTGCTCAGGGGTGTTTTCAGACTCCAGCAAAAGCAGAGGCATTTACGATTTTATATTTCTTATTCGGTCTTGTATTGGTTGTTTGTTTAAGATAAGACATTTAATTTTTAATTTTAGTAAATTTTACTAATATATTTCAAAACATATACTTTAATATTGAAAAAAAGGCTTTTCATACCTAGACCACCTACCTCCCTTACATGGAAACACCCTCCCCCCCTTCAACACAATGTTAGAAATAGAAAGCATTGTTAAAACATTAAAAGTTAAAATTTGACATTAGTTAGTTAATTTATATAAAATACGCATTTAGTTCGATAATTATATATTCACAAATATTTTACTATAGTTCATCATGACTATTTTACAGTTACAGTTTTCACTTTCCCAACAATATTTTTTGACAAATTAGTTTTTATTTTTCAAGAAGCTCATCGGATAGTCTACCCCCCCCCCCCTAGGGTGCCCCTGAAAAAAAATCCCAGATGTGCGACACATTTTTTAGGAAGCATTAGGGTAAAACTAGCTCAAATACGAAATTTTAACATTTTAAAATAATTTTACTAAATGGCCTACATATTCTGAAATAATTACAGACGTTCAGAAGTAAGATGTAGCAGTTACAACTAAGAAATGATTTTTAAGATACTTACTCTTTCATTTAATTCAAAAAAGCCAATAATTTATATGTGCGAAACATTTTTTAGGATGCATTAGGGTAAAACTAGCTGAAATAGAAAATTTTAACATTTTAAAATAATTTTACTAAATGGCCATTTTACTGTTTTACCGCCATGTTTGGCCTTTTTTAACCCTTTTCAACCATTCTCAGCTGAATAGGGTTAACTCTGTCAATTTTCAATGGATTTCAAAGAGTGATGATATACCATTTTGGAAATCCTTTAACCTGGTTAAAAGGATATTTGACAATTTTTTTTTATAAGTTGAATCATTTGGCCAAGCAAGAGGAGTTGAGGAGAAAATTGCAACAGAAACGTTTCTTTTTAAATTGATTTTTTTGACCAAAAAAAAATTTACTTTCACCACTCCCCGTTTTTTCACCTTTTTATAAAATTTGACCATAAAAAAAATCGAAAAAAATTGTCAAATATCGTTTTAACCAAGTAAAGGATTTCCAAAATGGTATCATCACTCTTTAAAATCCCTTGAAAATTGACAGAGTTAACCCTATTTAGCCGAGAATAGTTAAAAAAGGTAAAAAAAAAGGCCAAACATGGCGGGAAAACAGTAAAATGGTAAATGGCCATTTAGGAAAATTCTTTTTTAAAATGTTAAAATTTGGTATTTGAGCTAGTTTTACTCCAATGCTTCCAAATAATGTGTCACACATCTGGGAATTTTTTTCCCGCACAAATTTTTAAGCCAGTTTGAAACCTTCGCTTGGGCCATGTGAGTTGCCTCACAAATTTTGTGCTCAGTCGGTTCAACTGTTTTGACGTTTATTGGATACAAACGGACAAACAAACAGACGAGCAAAGTATATAAATAGAGTGAGAACCAGAAAAATATGGAATAGAAGGACGACTTTTAGACTTAAGTTATGACTTTAAATTGTTCATTGAACATGATACGCGGCAATTACGTACTGTTATATACTATACTGTATACAGACCAATTTAAAAGTGATTTTATAAGCTACTACTTAACCTATTTGCATTGTAACAACATCAAATAGATCTATGGATTGATATATATGTCGTCTTCCTTTCCACAGTTTTCTTTAGATGAAATTATTTTGAGACATGGCAGTCAGGATTTATATTTCATGATAATTTACAGTAGTATAACTTTAACTACAGCTAAACCAGGCGCAAATTCTGTTATTATGTAGATAATATTACTTATTGGATTTATCTTTCATATAAGTTTAAGATGTCGTTAACGTTTTTCCGGAACCTTTTCCCGAAGAATTCAGGAATGATTTTGCCGCAAACCGGAATTTTCTGAAACAATATTCCGGAACGTTTCATAATTCCAGAACAACATTCCGGAAATTTACAGTTAACGGAAAAAAATCGTTCCGGAATCCCGGATTTTCAGAACCTTTTCCATATTGGAAATGGAAGAAATTTCCGGATCGTTTCCGTTTGTAAACTGTAACCCGGAATTCCGGTGGAAACCCTACTCATATCCCTCTTTTAACGAATTAATTGATATACACACTTGATATTTTGTTGATATTTTGTATTTGGTTCACTATCCAATCTCCATATCCTTTCTGACAGAAAAATTAAGACACACACTTAAAAAGTCTCAGTTCCAAGCTCATATCACTCTTTTTATTCATTAATTCATACACACACACTTGTTACTCTTATGATATTTTTCATTGGTACAGACCAATCTCAATATCCATTTTTACATAAAAATCAAGACACACACTTTAATAGACTCAGATCACAGCTCATTTCCCTCTTTTAACTCATTAATTCATACACACACACTTGTTACTTTTTTGATATTTTTCATTAGTAGTTACAAACCAATCTCAATATCCATTCTGACATAAAAAACAAGACACACACTTTAATAGACTCAGTAGACACAGAATTCATGTTAATACACACTGCAACCACGATTTTATATTTCTAATTTGATCTTGTATTTGTAGTTTGTTGAAGATACGACATTTAATTTTTAATTTAAGTAAATTTTATTAATCTATTTCAACATGTATACTTTAATGAATTATCCCTGCCTAACATCCTAATTATCAAAATAATTACCTATATTCCAAATAGATATAAAGTAGTCCGAGTGATTCCTAAAACCCAGGAGCAAGTTGAGTTCCTCATCAATCTACCTGAACAGTTCCTTGATTTCTGGACTGAGCCTGGACTTTACAGGTACAATTAAAGCAGATTTTGAAATTGTTTATTTCACGTTCATTAAAGAGGGCCTTGGGCTGGATTCTTTATGTTTTTCAAGTTGTCCTGTCAAAAAAAAAAATTGTTTTAATTTTTAAATAATAATTGAGAATTGACAATGAAACACATTTATGTTATCAAAGATTTTTGATTGTTATTGATTTAAAGAGAAAAAAAATCATAACATTATCCTTGTTCAGCAAGTTTTTGATTCATAACATATAGATTATTAACTAGTAATGAGTGAATGTTTCAGTCAAAAAAGCAGTCAACTTCAGTTTATTCAAAACACTTAAAAATAATTAACAAATAAATTATGAGGAATGTTGATATCATGACTAATCCTGAATGGTTTGATGATCTTGCCAAAGAACTGGAGTTTGCTCAGCTGACATATTCTGAAATAATTACAGACGTTCAGAAGTAAGATGTAGCAGTTACAACTAAGAAATGATTTTTTAAGATACTTACTCTTTCATTTAATTCAAAAAAGCCAATAATTTATAATTTACTACTGTTTATAAGTTATAACTCAATGTCTCTTGCATGACAACCACAAATCTTAATATTTTGAAGAAAATACAACTTCTTTTGGCTTTAATGAAAAATAATAAACATCTTGAAATTATATTCTTTCTCAAAATTCCAATCTATTCAGGCAAAATTCAAATGATTGTATTCAGAATTGTTGATGAGGAAAAAATGGAATTGGAGAGAATTAAGATAGTTAATGAAGGAAACTTCTCTTTGTTCTCATATCATGAGTACCCAGAGGTAGGGTAAATTATAATTATTTACAAGAACGTTCAGGGAATTTTGGGTAAATCCATAGATAAAGATAGATTGCGCATAAGACGACATTTTTCATCTTGAAAGATATAAATGTACAGAGATGTTTTAAAGATATTCCTATTATATAGATTAACTAGGTCAGTTGTGAACAGTGGCTGTTCGTATGTCATGGAGTACTTGTGGTGTACATGAGTTCTGTAGAGAGAAATTTAAGTTAGTTTAGTCCTTCTCATGTCCTTCTTCAGTTCTCGTCATTATGATATATTGCTCAGTGAAATATTGTTGTTCAAATAGTTCCCGGAGTTATTTTACACTCTATTATGAAATCCATTAAAACACCAAGCCACCCCGCTTATCATTGAAGTACACTTTGACCCCTAGAAGTATGAGTTCGCGGACTGTACAATTCTTGGTGATTTTGCGTACATAAGCTATCTATGTTTATTTATTTATCTATATATGAGTAAATCTGGTAAAGTTCTAGAATATTATTAAAAAAGTATTTTTCCTCATTCGTTATTATTTCTGATGCAGAATTTGCATACAAGTATTGGCTAAATTTATTTCCCTTTAAGGGGAGTGTTCGCAAAAAATAAAAGTGGGTATAGGCTAACGTCAAATCAAAATCTATGGTAGCTAATAATCTTACTTCCATTGGTTTCATCTGTAAGGAGAAAATGATTTAACACTGCTCATACCAAAGAGCATATGCATCCATTCAAATTCACAAAGTTGCAATTTTTCACTATTTCAATATTATCTAATTTAATTCAATGCACACACACCTCTGACCCTAAAGTAAAAGTAAATTCAACCTAAAGTCTGACCGCGTCAACCTTGTTGCACCGACTAATCCTATTGAGTGTCTGCTTTATTTACTCAATGTCCGGGCGACACAGTACAAACTGGGACCTGAAAGGTTGACCCGGCCCAGAAATTCAAATGTACTACGGCTGCCCGTGTGCATTCATATATCTATGTAATAAAACAAGACATTCATATATATATATATATATATATCGACCGATTGGGCTGAAATGTTTTTGTGGACACTCATGGATGGCCGGGGAGTGCTATAGGCTAAAAAATTCAAAATTTTGTTTAAAATTTTTTTTTTTTTCTTAAATATTCAAAAAAAAAATTTCCACTGGCAACGCCGGGCCCTCCAGCTAGTAGTTAATATTTTATAATATTGTTTTTTTTTGTTTTATATACGATGTAGTTTCAATGATGTTTTTTTGGTCGCCAAGTGTTGTTAGGTTTCCCTCCCATGTGGTACCCTTGAAGGATTAAGAGCAGAGACAACTAGTGGCCAAATAATTGCTGTTTAAAGTATATTGTATATAAAACTAATAAAGTAGTATTAAATAACTATTTAGGAATGCATCGAATTTAAATTTAAATCTAATTATATTATTTTCGATCTGAGTGGAATAATGCAACTTTGTGAATTTGTATGGACGCCACATTCTTTGAAATGAGTCATGTTTAACCATGTTAACAATGTTAGTAGCAATCAACATCGGATTGTATTCAACGTTAGCCTATACCCCCTTTAATTTTTTGTAAACACACCCTTTGAATCTGTGCTATAATTACATAGGGCACCTTTCACCTAAGATTAATAAAATTCCCATCTTAAAAGTGAAGAAAATTAAAGAATATTGTTTGGTAATTGGAAGAAAAATTTTAGTAAATGTGAGCATGAAAGGTTTCCAAATTGCAGGTCAGTGCATGAGCCTATGCGAAAAAATGACATCAAGTGAAAAAACATAGTTCTTATCCCAGTTTACAAAGAATAAATATTAAAATCTTCTTTTTAGCTTCTATCTCTTAATTGTTAACTGTAGATAGTGGCTCATCTAGAGTTTCTTGCAGAAACAATTCCAGAGGTTGAAGTTGAAATCATTGGACAAAGCTGGGAAGGTGATAATTACACTACCTAAAGGCTTGAACTTAATAACTATAGCTAAAATATCTAAGCTGAAGCAATTAAGTGAATTTCCTTCCACAGAACTAAAACAGTTAACTTATTGGTTGGAACATTATCGATATCCAATAAAAAATCAATTCTTCTTAATCCCTAAGATTAGAAAAGATACAGAATAGCTCTTTCAGCAAACAACTAGGGCTTGGCAGAGAAAAGTTATTTTTAAAGAAATTGACAGGATATTCTGTTAGCTCTGCCATTGAACTTTGAATGAACGATAAAAGTTCTCATTAACAATCGTGGAACAAAAGATTTCAAGCACTGTGAACGTGCCCAGCCCTAGGGACTATAACCAATAGAAAATGTAAGACCTCAATGTTTGAAAGTTTTATATCCAAATATGATAATATTTGATCAGGACAGGAAATGGTAGTATTGAAGATATGCAAGAATGGATGTGGGAATAAGCCTGCAATCTGGATAGATGGAGGTAAGGGATGGAAACTGATGCTCTTAACTGAATATGATCCTTGATTCACATTCAAAGAGAAAAAAATATATATTAGAGTGGAATTTACTAGAAAACAGAGTAAAACGGCCATTTTGTTGTACTGTTTCAGTACTGCAAGTGCACTTCACATATTTGTGCTATTTAAACTTTTAGGCCCTGGAACATCATTTTGAAGAAAATATAAAATTAATATTAAAAGAAACCTAATTATGAAATAGACTGGTTTCATAATTGACCAATGATCATTTCACATAGACTCTATGCCTTTCACTTTACAAACGATGATTTTCCGTTATAACTATAAATCAAATGATGTTTTTTATTTACCTAATTCATTTTATAAAGTTTATTAACAGCTTTAAAAAATTCGAAATTGAAATGCATAGTCTAGGGAACATTAATGTACTCTACTGCATATAATTTGTGAACATTTACATAATTTGTACACTTTGAACTCCCTTTCAGGCTGAAGGAGACTGACAAAATTCATACATAGGGATTGTCTAAATTCCACTCTAATATATATTGTATTCTCTTTGTTCACATTGCATATATTCTAGGAATCCATGCTAGAGAATGGATAAGTCCTGCTACTACATTGTGGACAATCCATGAGGTTAGTTTGGAGCTACATATACAGGGTGTCTCGAAAAATGTTGTCTCTAATATACAACTTGAAATTATTTTCTTTGTCAGCAAGTGAACTATTTGAAATGTAAAGCTTTATTGTATCTTGAAAATTCACAAGATATTGGATATTCTAGTTAATGTTCATTATTAATCTGCCAGGTATTGAATGCTGACCCCTGGTTTACAGAGAGCTTGGATTGGTATTTTCTGCCTGTCTTCAACCCTGATGGGTATCAATTCACTCATGAACATGTAGGAATTAAATTCTTAAAAAATCTATACAGATATAAGATACCTTTTATTTGCTAGACTCGTTTATGGAGAAAGACTCGATCATTTCACAACTCTCTGCTTGGCTGCCGAGGAACAGATGCAAATAGAAACTTTGGTTATCATTGGAACGGTATTATTTCATATTTATTTCCTTAAAGAAATTGTTCGCATAATTTAGATAAAAAGTGCCCATTGTACACTCACCCTTTTCTTTGTAGAAAACCGCTAAACCTGTCACACATTTAACAGAAATATCTCATTAATTGATAAATAGTCAGACCTGGATGGATTTTTGATGGCACTTTTTATTCATGAATTTTAAAATAATAAGATGGTAATGTTTCTTTTAGAGGGTGGTTCGTCTGGTGATAAATGTTTTGACACCTATCATGGACCTGAGGCATTTTCAGAACCAGAAACTGCTAATGTTAGAGACTTTATAATGGCGAGGTACTTCATTACATGAGACATTACTTCAAAACTAACACAAATTGAAAGACTGGGTTTTTAAAATGCCGGCCCATATTGAGAGTAAAAAGTAGAACCAACATTTTAATAAGCATCACAAGGACAACATTCCCAATTTAAAACTATTTTCTGAAATCAAAATTATAAAAAGAGTTCTTTTTATACTAAAACCCTTGACCGTTTTCAAGACAATGTCAGGTTTTCCATTTTCAAACATATCCTGAATTTGAATCATATTCGCGTATTCTAGAAAAAAAACCCACTTAATCCCGTTTTTGAGTATATAATTCACAATTCAGAAGAAAACTCACTCACAAAATAAATGACTGAAATTAAAAATTATCTAATGAAGACTAAATTAACGGCTAAATTATTTCTAAAATTTCCCCATTTTATTTGTTTAATAAGAGGATAAATTTGATTTAATTTCCCACATTTTAAATAAATAAGTTAACGCATTTCTTGTTAAATCTATATTTTATGAAACTATTGTGTACTTTATCATTCTTCCTCACTTCATCGTGAATTTCATAATGAACGTGCTATATAAAGTAATCATCGTCCTGTAAAGTTAAATTAGCTGTACATTATGTGTAGTATAAATTTTTAATTGGTTCCCGGATTTTCTCCAAAAAATTTAGGATATTTCCCAAAAAAAAATTTCAATTGAAATTAACTTTATATTTTGACTTCTGCTGTGATTAAAAGCTTATTTGATCTAGAAATAGCCATTGAAATAAGACAAGTACACAAACGTTTTATAAAGGTTTTGGACTGAAATTTTCTCTATATATTGAAGTTTCTCGTCTTTTTAGATTACGGGACTTTAATCTAAAAGGCTCTCGATTTAGATTTAATTTCCCACATTTTAAATAAATAAGTTCCCGCATTTCTTGTTAAATCTATATTTTATGAAACTATTGTGTACTTTATCATTCTTCCTCACTTTATCGTGAATTTCATAATGAACGTGCTATAAAGTAATCATCGTCCTATAAAGTTAAATTAGCTGTACATTATAGCATGTGTGGTATAAATTTTTAATTGGTTCCCGGATTTTCTCCAAAAAATTTAGTATATTTCCCAAAAAAAAAATTTCAATTGAAATTAACTTTATATTTTGACTTCTGCTGTGATTCAAAGCTTATTTGATCTAGAAATAGCCATTTAAATAAGACAAGTACACAAACGTTTTATAAAGGTTTTGGACTGAAATTTTCTCTATATATTGAAGTTTCTCGTCTTTTTAGATTACGGGACTTTAATCTAAAAGGCTCTCGATTTAGAGAAATTTTCTGTCTAAAAACTTTATAACACTGCGAACCAAAATAACAGTGTTATAAATAGTAAGAACAAGATTAGCGAGTGTTCGAAATGGGCCAAGTGTTAGTTTTGGAACTATTTTCCCTTCCTTTAACATGGTTTTAAACAGAGTGTTTCATGAAAATCCACTCCCTGAACAAAAATAAGATAAAACCCCCCCATGGGAAAGCTAAGAGTAACCCTCCCCTCCAATATTAAATACTTCGTTAAAGAGATGCTTTTTATAAAAACATTTTTTAGTTATTGAAAGAGAGGAATAACATGTATAACTAATTCAGGAATGGCACTGTAAAATATTACAATAATATGCACAGCTACTCCCAGCTTGTGCTTCTCTCCTGGGGTTACACCACTGATCCTCCTCCCAACTATATGGAGTTTGTGAGTAATTTACCATGTTCATTTTATCACAAGCCTATGTTTAAACTTATTTTTACATCATTTATTTCATATTGGTTTATAATGGCCTTAAGATGGATCATTTTCCCCTCTTAAACTTTAACTGCTGCATGAAGGCTTGCTTTTTATCATAATTAAAGAACAGCTGAGGAATTTTCTTTTTAAATTTCATATAAAACGGGTAATTTTAAGATCTGTTAGGAGGTCATTAGGCTCCTGATAAAAATTTGAATACAATCTATTTATTTACGCATAGTTCATACTTTGTATGAAAAATCATTAAAAAGTGAACATTATGCAAAATATCTTAATAATTTTGCAATATTTACTTTATTTAATTTTCCCCTCTTGTAAAAAGGCCTAGGGATCCTCAAAGCCCCCCCCCTGGGGCCATGAAACCCCCAAAGCATCCCTTTTAAGTAGGAAAACAATATATTTCTCAAAGCCCCCCCCCCCTGGGGCCATGACTCCAAAGCATCCCTTTTAAGTAGGAAAAAAATATTTTCTCAAATGCCCCCCCCCCTGGGGCCATGACCCAAAATCATCCCTTTTAAGTAGGAAAAACGTTTATTTTTTGACATTTCCAAATAATCAGTATATTAGTTTTATTCATTCCTCTAATCTTATTCTCTCTCTTTAGAGCATTGACCCAGTTCTTAATTTTTTTCTAATAATTGAAAAGGGCCCTTCCAATAGTACAATATGTAATCTCTTTACCTTCCAATAGTACAATATGTAATCTCTTTACCTTCCAATAGTACAATATGTAATCTCTTTACCTTCCAATAGTACAATATGTAATCTCTTTACCTTCCAATAGTACAATATGTAATCTCTTTACCTTCCAATAGTACAATATGTAATCTCTTTACCTTCCAATAGTACAATATGTAATNAGGGGCAAGTGATTGGGCACTGGGAGAAGCTGGGATTCCATTCTCATTCTCTATGGAGCTGAGAGACACGGGAAAGTAAGAAAATTTATTCATCCAATTTTAATGAATTATTATTCCAATCTATTACTCAAAATTGCATATTCCCTTTTGGTTCAAAAAACAACGTTTAAAAGTTCACTATTTGTTCTAAAGGGAAGGTTTTATACATAGGGGTTTTTTGTCAATTTTATTGATTTCTTCAAGTATATTTTCAAGTTAGATAACATATTTATATCGTAATATATCTTTGCAAAATGATTGTGTTAGCTTTTTATATCTCAAATTTGACGTTTTTATCTAGAAGAATTCATAGTAAACAATATCAAAGATCTACAACATCAAAGTCCGAATGTAATAAATTTGAGCAGTGTCTCAAATCCGCCAAAAACCGGTTTTAATTAAGCTCTGGCTTAAATCTTTACATATTTTTCAGTGGAACAAACCATTTTTAAGCTGCGTCTCAAATTTAAGCTGCGGCTCAAATTCTTTAAATATGGAGTTTGTGAGTAATTTACCATGTTCATTTTATCACAAGCCTATGTTTAAACTTATTTTTACATCATTTATTTCATATTGGTTTATAATGGCCTTAAGATGGATCATTTTCCCCTCTTAAACTTTAACTGCTGCATGAAGGCTTGCTTTTTATCATAATTAAAGAACAGCTGAGGAATTTTCTTTTTAAATTTCATATAAAACGGGTAATTTTAAGATCTGTTAGGAGGTCATTAGGCTCCTGATAAAAATTTGAATACAATCTATTTATTTACGCATAGNGTTGTCAATTTTATTGACTTGTTCAAGTATATTTTCAAGTTTTATAACATATTTGATGGGTCTGAAAAAAATAAGAGGTATAAAATATAATATTTTTAAACAATTAATAACATTCTTTCATATCCCAGATCCCTGCTTGATGATATAAAATTAAAATAAAAAAATAAAGTACTCGCTTTAAACCGTAATTATCTACTCCTAATATCTTTGCAAAATGATTGTGTAAGCTTTTATATCTCAAATTTGACGTATTTATCTTGAATAATTCATAGTGAACAATATCAAAGATCTACAACATCAAAGTCCGAATGTAATGGATTTGAGCCATGTCTCAAATCCGCCAAAAACCGGTTTTAATTAAGCTCTGGCTTAAATCCTTATATATTTTTCAGTGGAACAAACCATATTTAAGCTGCGTCTCAAATTTAAGCCGCGGCTCAAATTCTTTAAATTTGGCCTCAGATCACGTAGACAGGATTAGAAATATGAGTTTGTGGCGTATAGTGTTCTTGTGTTACTGTTGGGTAAAATTTAAAGATTTGTTTTGTTATAACAAACTCAAAATATGAAAAATGATAATATTTTATAGTAAATAATTGTTTTTTTAAGGCATGGGTTCCTTCTTCCTCCCTCCTTTATAGAACCAGTTGGTAAAGAAACATGGGAATTCCACAAAACCGTCGCCATGGCAATCTTAGAAGAATATAAACAGTTTTCTACAGAAATCTGAAACATTTGATATTTGTGTTATCTTTTAAATACGTACAAAGTTGCCAGTGACATTTTTTGCAATATATCATTTTATCTTAAATTTTCAACAAATCCAAAGTGTTTCACTCAGAATTATATTTCATATAATTTTCTGAATATGTTTTGTAGTGGAGTTTTTAACACCAAGTTTTAACCCTAACTTGGAGAAAACTGGGCTTAAGATAGTCGAGATTAAGCCTTTTTCACCCAGTTTGTGAGTGGAATTAAAAAGTGGAGATATTGTCGAGTTTAAGTGGATTTTTGAAGTGGAGTTTTGGGAATCTAGTTGACAACTAGCTGTTCCATCCACTTCTGTTTGGTGGGTAATAATTATTTACAACTACTTTACAGGGAAGTTAATGGAATTTTACTCTACCAAGGGTTCCCAAGGACCAATTTTGCCTACAAAACATACTGAGCGCATGCGAGGGATGTTTTGTGGACAATATTAGTCAAGGGAACCTGTGGTTAAGTATAATTTTTAATTCCCCGAAAAAGTAGTAAATACAATTTTATCGTATTTTGAGATGCAAATGCGCGAATCTTTTCACAAACACTTCGAAGAGCTGGTCGTTATTTTACTTATCCTAAGGGACATTGGGTAAATCAATGTTCCTCTGTTGGGGCAATCATAGGTCGGTTATGTTGGACAAAATATTAAATATTTAGTAAAACTCGAGAAATCTAAAATATTGTCAGATTCGAAATACTAATTAAATTAGATTTTTTCATATTGGGCGTGTTTCCATGGATTACTAAAAACGACAAAATATTTTGTAAAACTCCAATAATTTAAAACTCAAATTTTTCTACTTAGTTGCAAGTAAATACAATACATTCTAAAGCCTTCAGGATACCTCAACTCCTTACTTGATATAACGAAAATTTCGCACTTATGCATTTTGGTGACAAATCTATGGATTATTTGAAAAAATAGAAAAAATATGGAACAGTAACTTTAATTTTTCTCTCAAAACTGGCAAATAAATGTCATGAAGAGAAAGTATTAAGTATGTTTATTTATTTTGAATAATAAGATTGAGACAAAAAGTATTTAAAATTCACAAACTTTACAAAATTTCTTAAATAAAGTTAATTGTTTAAAAAGTGGAAAAGGAATACGATCAATAGTTTTATTCTGATCTTTAGATATACTGTAAGCTAACTGCAAAGTGAACTCGGAATTTATGTACCATCGTGTTTGTATGTTTTATGTACCATCATGTTTGTATGTTTTATGCACCATTATGTTTGTATGTTTTATGTACCATCATGTTTGTATGTTTTATGTACCATCATGTTTGTATGTTTTATGTACCATCATGTTTGTATGGCTGCATGGTAACAAACATTGTAAATAAAGAATATATTTAATTTATGAAGAATATTAAAATACAAGAGAAAAATTTAAAATTTTCGTCATATTTTGGTTCTAATCTACAGTGCATCTGAATTAAGAATGTCGTCTTCCTTTTCTGCACTTCCATAATCTTTAATGCAATAATGATATTTCGCGCGAAATATACTATTTATTTTTAGTCTATTATTTAATAATTTATAAGTTTGCACATATATTGAAAAGTTTATGCATCAGTTTTAAATTTTGTTGTTCAGCAAGTTAAAAAATATAAACTCAGCATAGGCTAGGTAACATAGGCTAAACAAATTTCATTTTTTTAATCAAATTTTTTTTAATTCCAATTTTTTCTAAGTGTTTCTAAAATTCCCTGACAACGCCGGGCACTTCAGCTAGTTACTGATATTTTCCTAGATAAAAAAATTGAAAACAGTAGGAGAGGTGTAAAATGAAAACAGTAGGAGATATGTACAATGAACACAGTAGGAGAGGTGTAAAATGAAAACAGTAGGAGAAGTGTAAAATGAAAACAGTAGGAGAGGTGTAAAATGAAAAATTGATCCTCTGAAATCATGTAAATAATGCAATAAAAGGGATTGTAAGCATAATTGTAAGTGACGCTTCATTAATGCAAAGATTTCAAGGCCATAAACTGTACCTTTACAAGATTTCTCTGATTAAGTATGAAGTTTCTCTACAAAAGTAACTTGCTCATTTCTTCTGTAGGAAAACATAAAGAAACTATCAAAATTAAACTAGTTTAAAATTAGAAAAACTTCAATTTCTTCCACATTATTGATCAGATAAAGGTTTCAAGGGTACCGTTGTCAATCTGACAATGCATTCTGGCATGGAGGGTCACTTAGAGTTATGACGGTCTCTATATATCCTGAAAGAAACGTTAAATCTTTCAATTAGTATTAGATATTTTGTCATTTTTAACTCTTACGATTACCGGAAATTAGCCCTAGAGATTTTGATAGATATTAAAATATAAATCATTAAATTTAAGTTACATTTTTGTAAAATAAAATATTGCATTAAAGATTTTGTAATGATAACTTGAATATATTAAAAAACAATCTAAATCAATGTAAGGACACTTAAAAATTGATGAAAAATTACATTATTTAATTCTTTTATATTAAACTCTTAGAGGATAAAAATTACAGAATTGTTGTCGTCTTTGTAAAAGGGACTGTACGCGAAGTTTCAAGCATGGCCCTTCATGTAAAGTGGGGAGTGCCCGATTCACAACAAAACCCATAAACATTTTAATGATCATCAAGTGCGGAGAACTCTGTGTGTTTAACTCTAAAATTGTGCGTGTTCGATTTGCCGAAAACCCGTGTATGTTAGGATAAACGCCACTGATTTCACACATTTCTCGAAAATCCCGAATATTGCAACGTGATATTAAAAAATTTAAATAAAAATATTTTCTGCGACTTCTAAAAGATAAATATTGATATTACTAAAATATAAAACAGCTTGAAAACATAGTAACCAACAATTACATAGGCAGCGTAGTACCTTTGAACTTCCGAGCCGGGTAAACCTTTCCGGTACCAGTTTGTACTGTACCTTACTATATGGACAGGACTAGCCGGTGCAACATGGTTGACGTGGTCAGACGTTATGCTTCATATCGGTTGAATTTACTTTTACCAAAGGGGCGGAGGAGCGTGATTACAAGCAGTTTTTTAGATAAGGAGAAGTCCGCGGTCCTCCTTGATTAGTCGAAGATTTAAAGGCTACTGTTGTGAATCAAACACGCCACAAATGGAGGGTCACTTGAAATTATGTCTACAGTACTTTAAAATTGTTTTCTAGAAAGTTAGAAATAGAATAGTTTATATTCATCTTTCACAAAACAAATTTGATACGTAAAACATCAGTGCGAATCATAAAACTGTCAAGTAGGAAGGCGAAAGGAATTGAGTTTTTGTCACAAACTTTAAAATTCTGATTTTTTATCCCTAAATCTTTGCAACCTGATGTCGTTGACCTTAGATATTTCAAACTATGAATTTTGTAAGATCAAGAAGGTTTGCATCATCAGGTTGCAATGATTTAGGGATTAGGAAATTTGAGTTTGTGGCAAAGACTAAATTGTTTTAAGCAATTTTATATTTATTTCATGTTGGTCTAAGGCAAGAATTTTACCCTTCGCTTTAAGACCAATTTTTTAAATGAAAAGTGTCTGTGCACAATGAGGAATTGCATTTTCATTGTACTATTTAAATCATAACAAGACTCTAACCAAGGTTGTATAATAAGGTTGCTTACTCTCGATGCACTCCAATGTGCAAGAAATGTCGTCTCCTAAGCAGAGATAGATCGAATCTCTATATGACGTCACTGAATATAGAGGCGAGAGTAGGGATCAGTGACGTCATCGGATTCTATGAGACGACATTTCCCATACATTGGAGAGCAAAAAGAATGATCAACCTAATTTTACAACCTTGAGTCTAAAATGCATCCTTCCAAAGTTTTACGTGTCTCACTGTGTATACACTATACAATCAGGTGATTTTACCGATAGTGACAACTCTATAATCTATTTATCCTCTTTGAACTAGATCCTCAAATATTGAGTATATATGTAGTTTGACGACAACTGGCACTTTAAACATTTTTATACATTTAATTTGACACTTCTGGTAATCTTTAAAAGTGTTTAATTTTTCCTATTTCTCCTCATTTCTGTTAATTATTCTTCATTTTTTGAGTTTTAAAGAAGGTTTTATCTTGGTTTTTTTTTGGATTCTAATGAAGTCCTTGCTTTTTTTAATGCAAAAGTTTTTCTTTTTTATGAATATCTTTACTTTAATTTTTGTCTATTTCTGATTCTTTTTTGCTTTATTTGTTTAATCCACTGGTTATTTGTTCATCTATTCTCTGCCAGAAGCTGAAGAACTTTGTGTATATCATCTAATCGTTTGTCCACATGGCTGATCTGAAACAAGGAG